TGAGAATTTTTTTTCACTTAGTTTGAAGCTGAAATGTACTCCCTTTTTAAGCAGAGATCAGACTGCATTATGTATCAAAAAACATTGTGACTGTCACATCAAATATACATGCTAAAAATAAACAAACTTTGTTTTATTATCGTAAAAACTAGCGCTATGATCAAAGTATCGTAATAAAAGAATTTTGTTGAAGAGACATCTACTTTTTCTTTCAATTATAGATTTCTCTCTAATTTGGATTATAATTCACAGGAAACCTAAACTAAAAAGATGTATTTATTGCAAGATTATTGTCATTTTAACCTTCAATACCTGATTATGGCTGATTTTCCTGATACCAAGCAGCCTTAGCAATTTATCCGTTTATTTTGCATTGCTAACTAAGAAGTTCAGAAGGCTTTAAATTCTAGTTTAATTTTATATAAGAACTTATCCATCAGATAATACTTCTCTAGTAAATATGAATATCAAAACAACTTCAATCTTAGTGGGCCCTTATCAAGTCTGCGGTCCTCAAAGCTCTCCACTACATTCCTCCATGATCTGCTGGGGTAACAGCATCAGGGCGATTCTGTTCTACAAACTCATCTTGAACCTCTGGAGATAATTTATCGGAGAAGAGATCTTCATCCAGTTAAGAAGATCATGGACAACACTGAGAATCCTCTTCAGAAGATTTTTAATAGTGTTTTCAATCAGAGGCCTCTCAAGATGTGGTGCAAGTCAGACCGCTACAGAAGGGCCTCCCTTCCTACAGCTATCAAGAAAAATATAAACTAAGGGGTACTGCAACATTTAATTTCACTTCGGGAGTAATAAAATTCTTTTTTTTTTTAAATCAAATTGAGTTGTTCACACATTCATATGCTGGTAAGCTATTTTGCAGCCACTCTTGGGGTGAACTGACAGAGCGAGGCTATGTCTTGCCCAAGGCACAGTTGAAACGATTATCTCAGGTTCTTTTCTATCCCAGATTGAAGAGCACCTTTGAACAACTGCTTCCCCAAGTGCTTAGGCTGCTGAGCAAGGTGGACATCTGACTCTGCATCAGTCAACAAAAGAATAACAACCGATATAGTGTTTTTTGCATCACTGTGAAACCCCATCCATTTATAGTGACTCATTTAATTCTATAATGAATCCAAAGCTGTATACTATGCCAAAATCCAGTTCAATAAAACAGGAAATCTATTACCATCTACAGTCTCAGACTGACCTGTGAGGGGCTACAATGGCAGAAAGGGCTATTCTGCCTATTCTGATTTCCACTCATAGCTTTCTTTTGCTGTTCTATCATGGTCAAAGTGGTGTTTTCTCTGATGAATCAAAATTGGTAACTTCCTTCCATCTTTTCCATTTAGATTAAAATTAAAGGTTAGATCTTGAAATTAGCCTCAAGCTCCTTTCTTTAAACTCCTGGGAGACCAATAATCTTTTGACAAAAGTCAGATTTTAAAATATTCCTTAAACATTTAAGCATGTTGTCAAATCATTCCCTCTTTAACAAATAGATTGTGGAGTTTTTGATGTTATCAAGTTTTTTTTCATTAATTTTCTTCTACATCTCCCTTAATTAAATCACTCAAAACCTTGATTGAGTTCATTTTATTTTCCTCAAACAAAGTTTAATTGTTTTTGCTTGCTATACAAAGCTCCTCCTGCCTCCATGTATGCCATGATATTTGTCCAATTAGAACTTCTAGCAATTAGAATACTTTCTTCAGACAGATTATATACTGAGTAAGACCTACAGTTTTTTCCTCTATAGAAGTTTGACCCAGTTTCCCACTGTGGCTTTTTTTAAAGGCGACTCTTTGCCAGAAGCCAAAGCTTGTCCACTCATTAAGTGAGTTAAAATGAGCTATGTCTGAGTTTTGAGTCTTGATGGAACCCTTATTGTCAAATATATGTTTAATGAAGGAAAACAATTAAAATGTATAAAAGGGCAATCAGGCTATAAAAACCAAATTGGGTCTCTGTGAGCCTCTCAATCAGTGTTTAACCTTAAAACCGACAAGTTAATTACTCAGATGTCCGACACCTCACTCTTTAGCTGACCAATGAAGCAAAAAGCAATAGATAGCACATTTGCTGCTTCCAGCTAACTTCCTGTTAGCCTGCGCAGGGTTAAAACCACTGAAACCGTTTGAAAACTCAAGTTAACAGCCGCACACTGCACTCTTTAACCTTCCTCTTTCCTTTCCCTCCAACGCTTTGTTCATATCACTAACTCCACACAGTGTAGTGACCTCCTCTGAAAGCTCACCAAGCACTTCCCATCAGACTGTTTAGTGACTCATTGGTGACATTTGGCGTTGGAGTGTGTGAGTGCGCCCACGTTTGTTTTTGCAGCTTGTTTCTTCTTCTTTTTTTTTTTTTTTGTTGTTTTTGTGAATCATTGTCTTGCCCGGCAGCCCCCTCCTTCTTCCCACTAACAGCAAGTGGCCACATTAAGTTGCACTACATGAGCTGCCTGACAGTTGGGGAAGGATTGTGTAGTAGTGCAAGCTGATGGCTCACATTGATAATGGTGAGCTCTCTGGGAGCTTCTGGTCGAGTAGAAGGAAGGATTCATTTATCCTGTAGATTTTTTTAAAGGTGTTTTCGACATCCTCTCACACTCATAAACTTTTATTCTTCTCATTTGATATAAAAAAAAATAAAAAATCAGAGTAAATCTCTGAATATTTCACTCATGTTTTCATTCAAGCAACGGCGGAGTGAGATGAAAGTATCATTGTGAAAACTGAGACAAGTAGCAGTCTGGTTATAATTAAGCATGTGATATTTACTAGTTCCCCTCCAGTGGTTGGGAAACTGCACATGGCCGATAAGAGAAGTTCATTCACAGCCCACTTTTCTCTGATATTCCTCACAGCCAGCATGAGGCGCTTTGCTACATAGCTCATCTTCACAAGCCTAGACGCTGAATGTGTTTGTTTACTCATTAATGTACAATTAAGTTTCCACATTTGCTTATCCCTTTCTTTCAATTGTAGCATGCATGATTTCATCCTCCCAGCTGCTCATTCACTGGATTTGAGTTATTTTTGAGTAACATGTTGCCTATTTTCTATTAATGCGAGCATGGGGGATGACTGTGATTGTTGTGACAGATGTCAGATACAGATGCAGCAGGCTGAGCACAATGAGTCACCGAGCTTTTGAAACTGCATCTCCACTCACCTGAATTTCACATCCGTTATCTCCGTCATCCCTGTAGGTCAGACTCATAACGCACCTGCCTATAAAATGCAGTATCTTGCAGAAAAATTGGGACCCTTCACTTTAGTAAAATCCAGTGCAACAAGCTGCCTTTAGAAATCGTATCATTGGTGTAAATCCAGCTGTTCTTTGTAAGCCTGCAGGGTTTTAGTAAACAAACAGCATCATAACAACAGGACATTGATACATTTGTGGGGAACTCATGAGATGGTTTAGGTTATCAAGTGATTTTCTAAGCGTTGGATGTCTTATGAAGTAGTCCTTAATCCATCATCTAAAAAAAAATAAAAATGCTAAACTATGAACATAAGGCCCTCTGTCTAAACTGACAGACCAGGCGAGGACATTAATCAGAGGAGCAGCCAGGAGGCCAAAAAGTCAACCATAACCATAGGCAGCCAAGTGGTAGCTGGAGATCCACAGCTTAGGTAGGAGAATCTGTTGACAGGATGATTATTAGATTGGTGCCTCACATACCTGGCCTGTTAATAGTTTTTTGCAACCCTGATTGGGGGGACAAAACAACCATGTAGAAAATGTTGACCAAAAACTACCTTTATACGCTATATAGAAAAGCTATGTGTGAAGGAAAATGAACAACCTTGCATAATCATAAATCGTCTCTACACTGAAAGATAGCGGTAACAATATCATCCTTTGAGGATTATTTTTCAGCGGGGAAAGGACAGTTGGTCAGACCATAGACCTATTCGACTTCCAGCAGCACAACAAATCAAACTGTAGCCTCAGCTACAGTGTTAGACATAAATTCAACTGAGAAGACCTTATATGCATGTTCATAGACACTTTTCCTGCATTTAGACAAAACGTTTACTTTTTTGTAAAGACAAATGTGCAAATATGTGTGTATGTAGGCTACATAGGAGATATAGACAAAGCCTAAAGGACTTGCAGCTGTAATTAAAATGTGTTTCCACAAAATATTGACTGATGGCGGCTGAACAAAGATGGATTCGCATATTGCATAAAATCCTAATGAGTTTGTGGTTAAAGTATAGCAAAAAACTCATTGGTTAGGACTAGTGTAGACGGACGCAATGCAGTCTAAAGTTTAACGTTGGATTCCATAAGGAAAATCTAGATAAAGTTAAATTCTTGTTTCTCTTTAATTGCCATCGATCTGCGACGACCTGCCATAACTCAAAAGAATTATTCTATATTTTTTAGGATTTTGTCAGCTTTTATTGCAGCCCGTTTCTGATATCTGTTCAGGAAGTTTTTTTTTTCTTACCGTTTATCTTGATTAAATAATAAAAATTATCTTAGATTGTTTGGAAGGAGCTTTTTAACAGTTACAAAACCACCTGTTTATTGCAAGTTTTGTCACCTAAAAGGTGGTAGACTACAACTAATAGTATGCTCTTTATTTTTCTTGTGGACTAGATGTTTTATTTACCTTGTTTTACCTTTAATAATAATAATCATAATAATAATAGAAAAATAAGAGAATACAAGCAATAAAAAATATTTAGCTTTGACTCGTGTTTTTGTACAACATAGAATTTGAGATTCAGAATTTTAAATCAACTTTATGTGTACAGGATGTTTATCTTCACGTCAAATCTCCATAAAGGTCTTAGTTAATGTGCAATAGAAAGGAAATATTAGTATTTATTTTCCAGCAGAAAAAAGTGACTAAAATAGCCCTGCTTCTGCCTTCCAGTCAGATCACACTGCATTATTGTTTGGTGTTAATGCTTCTTCTTCTCCTCCCCCTGACCCCCATTTAAAAATGTTTAATTTGAACCCCACAGAAACCAGCACCTGCAGGAGATGTCAGAGTGACTCAGGTAGAGCTACCCCTCCCTTTTGGGCTGCAGCATCTTGTTTTTATTTATTTTTTAATATATATTTTTGGCTTTTGTGACACATAAATCACCGGGGAGGCGGGAATCTCCCCACTCCCGTCATCTCCACCTGTTCTGAGTCTTTTCATTCATCTTCTCCTGCTCCTCCTCCCCGCTCACTATCTGGCGTCAGATCTGGTGCACCACCAGAGGTTGTGGAGGGGTTACTGTCAAATTATTTAGAAAACAAAACAATGCTGTTTTGTTTCCTTTTTTTTGTATTTTTAGCACAAATTCTTAAAAAAACAAAAAACAGAACACTATTAACAAGAACTCAGAACAGCCTGTCTGCTGAAGAACTTTGGATTAGAAACATTCTGACTATGAACTGGGTTAGGTTAAGTATGATTTCTGACAGAGCTGACTCTCTGCAGGGCATGTTTAGGTTGTTCCGCCTCCGAGCTGGTGAGACTAAAGCCCATTTGATATGCCTCTCTTAAAAGAAGTTGGCTACTACAGAAAGGGGGCAGGAGGGGGGATATCATCGACTGCTTAAACGGCTTCCATTAAACTCCTGCAAAGAGCATGATTTTATTTATTTATTTTTTTTTCAATTCAAAAGATTTATTTTATCCCTCCATACTCTTCCTCTGCATAATATTTTGTGCCCACACAATGTAGGCCTACCTGCCGGGGTGTGCACAGAGTGCTGCTTTATAATATCTATGCTTTATCATCCCACACATTGTCTCAGAAGGCTTCTTTGTCTGGTGCTGCGGTGTCTCTTGCTCAGAACTTGTAACTTTTCACATAGTAGGTCCTTCATTTATGTTGTTGTAAGAGAAAATAAACGAATGGGACTGATAAAGACTTGAATTCAAGTTGTGCAGATTTTCATTAAAGGCACAGGGTCTCATTCAGTTAAGTTGTTCAGCATCACTCATTCCTGTGTTCTGTTTCAACATCTGGTTTCCTAGACCCTATAGTGGTTCACAAGGAGAACTGAAGATAAAGCTTCAGTATGATAGCATTGATGCTTTATGGGCCTCATTGCATGAAAGTGCAGAATCATGACTTTGTCTTCTTATGCTGGAGTCATTGATCTAAATTGCACCATTTAGCTCCCATTTTTAGTTTTAATGTTTACAGTTGGCTATCAAATGATGTAAACTTTATTATATATGATAATATTTTATTATGATACGTTTTTATTATTTTCCTATTTGTGAGGTATAGGCTCTTGAGTAAAAATGCCACTTCTCCCAGTATCAGTTTTATTCCCAAAAATGTTATCAAATTATTTCTTAACCCCAAAAACCACTTCTTCAAAACTTATACATTGATTATTACAGTTATGTTGAGGGTGTCTTTACCATTTGCTTAGTATTTTCATTTATATAGGCTTAGTTTATATTTCTGTCTGGATGGAAATATATGAGATTTTCTTTCACATTCAAATTTGTGTAAACATTACTTTAAATGATTACAGGGTTATTTTCAACCAGTATATAAATATCAAACCTATGAACTCTAATATAAATATTTTGATTTTTAAATTCAGTTACATTTTGAAATGGATCTTTCTTTTCTAAAATCAAAAAAAAAAAAAAAAAACACATTTACATATATCGAGTGTCTGATACGACAGTATAAGACTATTTTATTATTTTATTTACCTGATTCTGGCTGTGGTGTGGTGTTAGGCTGAATACTGCAGCTGGAGGAAAAGCAGCGCAGCAGGAAGGCATACTGACAGTTTAAATCCTCAACATCATTTACTGCACCTCAATTCCACTCTACTATTCATATGAAACAGATTCCAAATCAAACGAAATAAACAATAATAAAATTATTAATAATTTCCGCAGATCTATGTTTCAGTGCTTTTCATTCCATCCAGCAGGTGTGGAAAATCAGGTGGGTATATGTTAAGACGTAAAGTAAGGATAAAAATGGCTCTGCTCTCCCTCCAGAAGGTGCGCTACGAATTAGCAATAGAAACAATCCTTAGAATACGGGTGCAGCAGGTCAAAGATGAGGCTCATTTTCTGAGTTCAGCTGTGTTTAATCATGTTAGCCATGAACCGTCATTAGCATAATATAACCCCATCACCAGTGTTGCAGTAAGCGGACTGGTTGCTTCTTTAAATAACTTTAAGCCAGACTTTGAAATACTGCTGGACAAATAGATGTTTGCTCTCACACTCCTGCAGATTCTTCTTCACTGATATCAGGCAGGTTCTGTTTTCAGTCAACGGGCTTGTCATCGAAACAAGGACTTGGAAATAAAACCTTTTTAAAGATTTAAGGAGAATTGAAACGTTAGAACCAGTTCTGGTCGATTCTTGATGCCCAACCCTTGCTGATTGTTTCCCATTCTGTATTCCAATAAATTGCACTGTTTATAATGGTAACATTAAGATACTTAAAAGATTTTGCAGAGCTTGGTTTCTACAGAATCCCTTTCATTTCCTCTTGTTTTAAATATTCTAGTGTACATGGCAAAAAGGGAAACAGTATGACAGCAGTTGAACTAGGCTGTATCTAATGCTACCAGACCACGCAGACCACAGATAATACAAATTGCATCAAATTGCTTCATTTTGAGATTGTTAGAATTCTTGAAAGTTTTCTATTATTCTTGTTAAAGTTGTGACAACCATAAGATTTAGTTAGGATGCCAGCAGTAAAGATAGCAAAAATGTTAAGAATCACTTAAGATGCCAAATGCAACTAAGGCTATGTTCACACCAGCAGCAATCACAGATTGCTTTCGTAGTGGCATCTATCAATACTTCAAAACACATCTCAGGGCATTGTCAGGTCTACGTTCTCCTTCTGTGCGTGTCACTTTGGTGTCCTGAATTGTTTAGACTGAAGTCTGATAGCAGTAGCATTTAATTAGCAGTATGAAAGACCACACAAAATGACCGTATTTAAGCAAAACTTGAAAGTCAAGAGCTGCTGTGTGATCGTACCCATAGATTCATACAGTTGCATTTTGATTTGTTACTATTTTTTACAATTTGTGTTGTTTTCCATGTGGACATAATAAAAAGCCAATGCATTGAACATCAAAAACTGATGTTCAATGCATTGTTGCTGTAGTACCTTAAAACTAAAGTATATGAATGCTAGTTGTTGTGGCGAGAAGAAGATAGAGGATGGAGAGTTTTGCAGTGTTCTCTGCTCTAAAGCCAAAAAAATCTCTTTCACTTTTTCGCTTCTTGTACAATCTCATTAAATTGCTTTAAAGGTTAACCTTTTGAAGCTTTGGTGTTCGTTAATTCTTTATCCTTAGATCATTGATTTAAAGCGCTTATACTGATAGACCCACTGCCATAAAATTGTGTTATTGCAGCAACATGTTTTATTGCTGTTATTTATCTGAATATTGAACCACATTTTGTAATTAAGCTCTGCTGGTAAAAAGAAAATATGTAACAACCATCCCAATCTGAGTTATAAATGTGAATATATCACGGTCATTGGAGTTTAAATAATAATATTTGAGATAAATTGATACAAATTGTCACTTTGTAAAACTAGTTTTCCTGAATTTTATCAGGTTTTGTACAGCTGTTTACATTTGGGAAATATCCTCTGCTAATTTAGCATCACAACTCTTGTGTGTGTGTATGTGTTGATTGTGTAGCAGATCAACATCTTCATATTTGAAGTACATTAGACCTTCATTAAGAAAGCGAGATTGCTCAAACATCTCGCAGTTTTTATGATGGAGGAGGCATGTTTTAAATGCTTGATGAGGGTTTTAATATCTTTGGGAAAAAATATCTACACAGAAAAAGGAGAAAGCTTTTTCCTTACACACATATGCTTGTGCGAGCTCAGCACCATCAGAGTTCATTGTAATTAGCATTTGGGTTCCCTTGTAAAAGGGACTTGTACTACCACTCTGTCATTAGTTAATGGGCCTGGCGTGCTTTCTGCGTCTCTCTTGGCTGCTCCCAGGAGGAGCGGTCGAGGTGAGGTGAGAACGTGCCAGAGCTCCCGCTATCTATCAGTCAGCTGCATGGCATTAAATACAGCTTGAGTGTGAAGGACCCATATGTCCCATGTGTCATTACTGGACATTACTCAATTAAAAGGCCTCAGCCTCTAAAAAGAGCACAAGCTTATGCCCTGGTGACACTGCAGAGCTCGGCAGAGCAAAGCACTTGTAAAAGAGCCGCTCAGTTAAAGAAAGCTATAGAGAACGCCTTTATATAAAGTGCATCAGAGCTATAGTTGTGTTGCAAAGACTTCCCTGGTAATGCTATCTGCTGTTCCGAATAGCAGCTGGGTTTTAAAGAAAGACTCAAAATGGTATCTGTCACCTGGTCATTGATAGATTTTGATCCCCTTTTAAGTATCTGAAGGAAGAAACTCTATTGAGGGTCATGATTTTCAAGTTTAAGGTTGAGATTAGAATCACATAATAGAGAACAAGGTCAAAATATTAAGAAAGATAAAACATTAGAAAAAAAATCTACATTTTGTGGAAATTAAATCTTGTATTGGTACATAGAAGGGTTGAAAAAATTGGGCATTTGTTGGCTGCATTGTTTTGGAGGAAAAGACTAACTCAATTTATCTTAACTATTTCATAGTTACATGTAGTTTTTAATTTGCCTCCAAGATACCTTTAGGTTTTCTTATGGAATGGCAAGATGGAAATACACTGTAAAATGCACAGTAGAACCTTGATTTAAATACTTCTAAAGCACCATAGTTGTGTTAATGCTGCCTAACTTCCCTATACAGGCTGCTAAAGGTAGAAACACTTGTTTGCGTTGTTATAAAGTGTTTAAATGTGCAGCAGCAACAAACATCTCTTCAGTCCTTGAGGATAAGACCTCAGGGATGTTTGAAGCATTTTTGTAATGAGCTTTATATTTCACAGCTAGCAGCATTCTCTCTGTTTTCATCCACAACACTATACTGAACATTTGCATGTTGCAGCCCTGCTCTGCAGAGCAGTAGAAGAACTAGAGCTGATTGAACTGGGTATAAAGACAAAAGATGACAAATGTGACCCACAATACTGGCAATTATCACTTTATATTTACTTTAACAAGTGTACAAAAAGAAAACCTTTCCCTTAAAAGATATTGATTGGTCCCCATTCCTTTTTAATTGCAGCCAGGACCAAGAACCCACAAAATATGTGGCCTCTGTAATGTACCATTATTGGTATTACATACTTACAAAGTTGCTTTTTAAAAACATCCATCCATTATCTGACACGCTTGTCCCGAGTGTGGTCGCGAGGGGTGCTGGTGCCTATCTCCAGCAGTCAATGGGTGAGAGGCGGGGTACACCCTGGACGGGTCACCAGTCCATCACAGGGCAACACAGAGGCACACAGGACAAACAACCATTCATGCACACACTCACACCTAAGGACAATTTAGAGAAGCCAATTAACTTAACAGTCATGTTTCTGGACTGTGGGAGGAAACCGGAGTACCCGGAGAGAACCCACACTTGCTCAGGGAGAACATACAAACTGAATGCAGAAAGACCCTGGGCTGGGAATCGAACCGAGAACCTTCTTGCTGCAAGGCAACAGTGCTACCCACTGCTTTTTTAAAACATGTTGAAAATAAATTCTAACCCCAGCCCACCCGTTAACCTCTGTGTATCTTTTGTACAGTTGTGAAAATTATGAAAATTGAATTTTGACTCTCATGAATGAACTAAACTAGTTTTAGAGCACACACAAGCTCCGTCTTTGCTGCTTCACTGAGTGAAACAGAAAACAGGCACAAGGGAAGGACCACAACAGAGGACTTATTGATATAAAAAAAAATATCACAGAGCTCTATCTCTGTATCTAATATGCCCCACTCTAAAGGCTTGTCCACCATGTTTTCCCTAGCATAAATCAACCTTAAGGGATGCAATAGGACATATTTCATTTCAATTGTTACTCTAACAAGTGTCTTACATTTGAATTTAGTCCATTATTTTAATTAAAGTGAAGTTAGATTAGGTCATTGTTGATCATAAAATGTCTCTTCTCGAATACAGTCACAGTTTTTGACCTCATGATTGGTCGCGATTGCTCATCTTCTGTATCAGCAACATGGACAGTATTTGGGTCAAATGCATATTGACAAATCTCTTAACAGTCCTTGATTGTGTCCATTGCTCATGGGAATCCCTATATGACTATGTATCATGGCTTTAACAAAATGCCTATAAGTAGTTAACCTTGGCCTGTCTTCATCTGGCTGCTGTTAGCATCTTCATTATACAGTGTGCAATTAAACTCTAAAGGCTTCAGTGAAATGAAATGCGAATAAGTGAACAGATGAGAGAGAGGTGGAATTGGACAGAGACCTTGAGTTTTTTATTCCCCTGCTTTTGTTGGCTGATTGTCTGCACTCTTGGCAACAGATGCTTTGTCCTTTCCGCTGATGACATTAACAAACCATTTAATGAGGTTGATTTCAGAGACAACTCTTCCTGTTGTTTGAAGTTGTTTAGTAAATAAAAGGAATTTAAGGTTGGATTAAGGTCAAATAAATTAGCTTGTTAGGATATCCCACAACTGTGGCACTATGGGTAATCATAGCGCAAGGTTGTGGGTACAATTCCGGCTTCTCCTTGTCAAATATAGATGTACCCCTGGGCAAAACACTTAACCCCAAGCTACCCACTAATGTACGTGCAAGTGTATGAAAGTGTGTGCGTTGGGGTCTGTGGCTAGAGTAAACTGCTTGAGTGGTAAGTATGACTAGATAAATGTGTTCATTTCTTATTTAAAAGATCCACAGCCCAGATTAATCTGATTGACTTCTGGCACATTCTGCAGTTTCTTTCTATTCTGATATTGTTGAAAAAGAACACACACATCCTTCAGTTCTCTGTCTTTATTTCAGAGCAACTCTGTCATTCATTCTCAGAGTTTGGGTTATAAATGGTAGGTTGCCAGTTGAAGAGACTGTCACTTTGTGTGGAGGTAGTGATTTAGTGTGGAGATAAGCTCTGTGTAATGGCAGGGTGGAATAATTTCACTTTAACAATGAGGCTTGGCTCTCTTTGCCCTGTAGAAGGAAATACTGCTGCTTCTCTGTCGCTCTTCATTTTTTCTCCTTTCATATTTGGAGAAAGCATTCCCTCGTCTAATAAGCTGTTTATCTTTCAGGAAATGAATATATAGTACATATGCGTACTATATCTTCAAAGATTTTCAAATGGATGTCCTCATATTTATTCATTTCTGTATTCAAATTGGTAAAAAGAAACCAATTGTGACTGTTATTTTTTAAAGCAGTTGGTATATTTTACCTTACCTAATGACATTGTAATGGTATTTGAATTAACCAAAATATAGGTTTAAATGGTATTTGGAAAAAGAATAAAAATTAGCACAAGTGCCTATAGAAAATACAGCCTGCCGTCTTACTGAAGCAGATTGCACCTGGGAGATCTGAGGGGACGGTTCTTCGCATGGAGAGGAAGTGCTGAAGAGAGGAAGTGAAGGACAGTGGAGATATCACTTTTTCTTACTTCCTACATTGATCTTATCTGTAACCTCAGTAGCTCTGTCTCTCTTTCCAACTCACTACACTCTGCATCTCGATCGTGAATGAAAAAAAGAACAGGGGGTTCCTTTTGTTTTGCAGATTGATTTCACATTGCAGTTAGATGTAATGTGCTAGAACTGCTGTAAAAATACACAGGCATTGTAAATAATCCAAATGAGTTCTGCTGCATCGTGCTGCCCTCTGGAGGCATTGCAGGCAAGCACACAATTTAGAGAGACAACGCAAAACAACTTTCAAGATTGCTGTGGGCTTATTTTAAAAGCTTCTGTTGAGGGGTTTCCATTCCCAAGATACGATGAGATAAAAATAGACTTTATTGATCTTACAGTGGAGACATTTACTGTCCACTTATAAACTGTAGATCGAGAAGAAGAATGGAAAAAAAGAAATAAGGCAAAAAATTTGATTCCTATTTGGAGGTGGTTGCATAACCATAAACTAAAGCAGTTTAAAATGAGATAATTATCACAACAGTTCAAAAGAAGGAAAACAAAAACCCAATAATTATTGTTCTTAATACAAAATTAAATACAGGGAATGTTAAATATTGATAGCGATGCCACCTAAATACGTTGTTTCATAAAGAGTGGATTTACAGGGACATTTGAAAAAAACGAAAATTTAGACTTAAGATTGACCTTCTGAAGCCTTCAAAAGTCCAAAAATGTGGAGCACAAAATAGACTTATATAAAATAAAGCAACTTAATGAAGTGTGAGCTATGAAAATGGCTAATTAAAATGGGATGTACAATAAATTCTGAAATATTATGCCATGCAGATTTATTGTTACTTAGATAAAGCATTAACACAGTGTTAGCTATGTTTAAACTAATTTCTAAAAATAGAGAACAAACGGTGTAGCATACAGACTAGGGGAACACACAACATAAGGGAAGTTTATGTATTATTCCATAAGTATGCTGGTTTTGCAACATTATCACTTTTCAAACTTATTTGGAAAGTAGAGCTCAAAATTTGAAGGTAAATGTGGATCATTGTACCAACATTTATAGTACCTAATAGTAATGGGGAACTAAAATTGGAATCCATGCTGATTCTCGTCATCAGCCTTAGATATTATGATTGGATCTGATGGAGGTTTACTTCATCACACTTGCATGATCACTCTCTCTAGAATAGGTTGACAACCTTTGCTTTTTATGTGTGTTTTCCTCGCAGCTTTGCTGTCATCGTGGTGCGAGGAGCTGGGCCGTCTCCTCCTACTGCGTCACCAGAAGAACAGGCAGAACGAACCACAGGGAAAAGTCCCCATGCAGCCCGGCATGAAGCCTGGCCTCACACACAGGTCAGTTACATGTGTTGGAATGTGTTTTTGTTAGAAAGAAATAAAAATGGTTATAAAACGGAGAAAGGATCCGCCGTCAAGTGCAGAAAAGTTCTAAAAGAAAATCAAAAAACAGATTCATAGTGGTTTCCACATCCTGGAATTAGCCAAGAAGTTGTTTACCTCCACTGAGGGTCTTTGGGGGAATGTTGTACCTTTTTTGTTCGGAAATATTGAACACGTCGTCCATTCCAAGAACTGACCTCAGAGAGAAAACAAACCGCTGTCCAGAAACAGCACTTCCTCCCGTCTGCACAGACCACTCGTCTCTACCCAAGAGAATTTAGTTTATTTATTAAATGTCCCAGACTCAGTCTTATTTGTTTATGTCAGAATTACTTAAATTCCAGCTCCCAGAGTTATTTTTATCCAAGGATTTTTTCCACAGCTCTATGAACTGATCAGGTGTAGTTTATCCTGGGGTCTAATAAGCTGCTCATTATCGGATCTCCTAAAGCTTTTCTCTCTGTCTCATCTTCTATCCCTTCTTGCTTTATAAACAACATTATAGCACTAGAGAAAGACTGTGTTTTTATCTGTTTTCCAGTGATGGGTCCTTTCCTTATGACTCTGTCCCCTGGCAACAAAACACCAACCAGCCCCCAGGGTCACTATCCGTGGTTACAACAGTGTGGGGTGTGACTAATACATCACAGAGTCAGGTATCCTTTCTTAGTTAATCACCCTCTTTATGATGCTCACCTCAGTATTAGTTTGCAGATCTGATCCATGAATGTACTGTTCTAAACATGTTTTTTAACGAAATGGTTCATTCCTAACTGTAGGTGCTGTGTAACCCTATGGCAAACAGCAACAACCACATGAACCCCGGGGCGAACCACATGGGATCCGGTATGTCTGCCAGCGCAGCAGGACTCACTTCACCTCAGTTTAGCGCTCAGCAGCAGCAGTTCCCGAACAAAGGAGGGTCCGGCCAGTCGTACATGCAGCAGGGGATGTACGGCCGGCCCGGCTACCCTGGCGGTCCTGGGGGATACAGCGGAAGGTGAGAGAATAAATCAGCCATTATTTGTATGGAAGCAGATCAGAAGCCGAGGCTACTATCAGCCTGCAACTGGATTTAATGTCATCATTATAATGTTAATTGGGGAATAAAAATGTCTGTTTAATATTAAAAACCTTTTATATCTGTTTTGCTGCTAAGAAACACATACAGTGTGACTAAGAACCCTCTTCAGTTTAAACTCTAAAAAAAATACGTCCTTTATTCCCAAAGGGAAATGAAAATAAAATCAGAGTTTATTCCAAATGTCAATAAGGTTACTTAACATGGTTCCTGTTGCTATATTTGCTTATTACTGTAATGATAAAATAATTTCTTGTTTGCCTAATCACAATATTATTTTTGACTTAATAATTGATTAGTTTTAAAGTTACTAACAGATTAAGAAAGGAATTTAAAAAAAACTTAAGGCTTCACTTTGATTTTGAACTTGGCTCAGTTGTTCTGCCTAATAAATCACTGATGTTCCTATTTTAATTATTTGTAAATAAAATGAATAACTAATAAATTATTAGTTAAAAATATGGAGGAGTCTTTTACCAAAACATCCTGATGTTCTGTATTATGTGATGTTTTGTGGGAAAAGACCAGTAAATGATCCCACTCTGTGCTTAAATCACCATAATGTTAAAGAATGTAAATAAAAACCATAAACAGAGCTGTGGAGCTGAGATTTAAATCTAAATACATTTTAACATAATGATTGTTTTGTAGTTACTCTGGAGGCCCAAACGCCCCTCCTGGAGGTATGGGAATGAACGCCCACTCACGCGCCCCTGGGGACTTCACCCCACCAGCTGCTGCAGCTGCGGCTGCAGCCGTCGCTGCTGCTGCTGCCACAGCCACGGCCACTGCGACCGCCACAGTGGCAGCTCTGCAGGAGACACAGAATAAAGAAATGAACCAGTACGGACAGGTATAGAAGCCGACACTGACAACGAGCCAACTGCTTTTGAACCAAATAAGGCCTGTTTAACACTTTAATTCTTTGTTTCCCCGTAGATGTGCCCGTCGTTCCAAATGGGCCCTGCACCTTCCTACAACAGCCAGTTCATGAACCAGCCAGGCCCACGAGGACCCCCTGGAGGTATGAATCCGGCAGCCATGAACAACCCTAACATGAGTGGTCCTCCAATTGGTATGAGTCAGGCTCGAACCCCAAGCATGGGACCTTTTGGGGGTCCCGGCCAGAGGATGCCTCAGCAAGGTTATCCTGGGGGGCCGCGGCAGGGCCTTCCCATGCAGGGGATGAAGAGGCCGTATCCTGGGGAGGTCAGTAAAAACTTTAAACAACTACAGGACTCTTAAGAATAACGTCAGATGTTGGCTTTAACTGGATGCTTTGACTTTAAATATCCAGGGCAACTATGGTGGTCAGCAGTTTGGGCCAAACAGCCAGTTCCAGCATCAACAGGCAGGGTACCCCTCATCGAATGCCTCCAGGCCTCTGCCTTCCCCTAACTACCCTAGCCAGAGGATGCCAGTGCAGCAGGGCCAGGGACAGTACCCCCCTGGAATGCCCATGGGCCAGTACTATAAGGTTGGTTTTGCTGCTTCATCTTTAAACTCCAAATTTCCTGAACTCTTAGAGATAAGCCATTGATAGCTGCCTTCAAAGATAACAATCTTTGTTTTTATTTACTTTACAGCAAGAGTCCTTTAATGGTCAGAATACTGGCTTCACTGGAGGCGGATACTCCTATAACCAAGGCAATGGGGTGTGTTTTAACTTTCTTCTCCTATAATTTCAGCTTTTACCTAAATAAGTTGTCTGTACATTTAGTTCAGCAGGTGTTTAAGTTAACTATTGTTCATTTCCTGTCTTTTATAGCCCCCCAGGCCTGGTAACTACCCCCACTCTCCAGTCCCTGGAAACCCAACTCCTCCTATGACCCCAGGAAGCAGTATTCCCCCTTATCTGTCTCCAAACCAAGATGTGAAGCCCCCATTTCCACCTGACATGAAACCAAATATGACAGCACTTCCGCCCCCACCGGGTGAGCTAGGCAGCAGTTTTAAACACAAAAGGGTTCATATGTTTGTCTTGAACTGTAAGGGTGTTATGTGCCAGGATTAGAGGGTGTTTTCTGCTCTTCAGGCAACCCAAATGAGGAGCTGCGGCTGACGTTCCCAGTCAGAGACGGGGTGGTGCTGGAACCGTTCCGCCTGGAGCACAACCTGGCTGTCAGTAACCACGTCTTCCATCTGCGACCCTCCGTCCATCAGACACTCATGTGGAGGTACCCGTTAAGCCAATGCCTAGTTTGTGGCAGAATCTTACTGTGGGATTGCTTTTAATCCGCATAGACGGTGAAGATATGAATTTAAGTCATACGCAGCCTATTCTGACATATTATTGCTCCTTTTGTAGGTCAGACCTTGAACTCCAGTTCAAGTGCTACCACCATGAAGACAGGCAGATGAACACCAACTGGCCGGCCTCGGTTCAGGTCAGCGTCAACGCCACACCGCTCACCATCGAGAGGGGTGACAACAAAACCTCCCACAAGCCGCTGCACCTAAAGCACGTCTGCCAGCCGGGGAGGAACACCATCCAGATCACGGTCACCGCCTGCTGCTGTGTGAGTTTTATTTATCAAATGCGCTGAAATTAAACTATTTCATTTAGCAGAATGACATGTTCCGCTCAGAGGAAGCAGGTAGGTAACTCTGTCTCTTGTTGCTTTTCAGTCCCACCTGTTTGTGCTCCAGCTGGTCCACAGGCCATCTGTGCGCTCCGTCCTCCAGGGGCTTCTAAAGAAGAGGCTCCTTCCTGCAGAACACTGCATCACCAAGAGTATGGCTCATTTTCTGCTTTTACTGTAGTTCTCTTTATGGGAATTCTCTAACACAGATGTCAGCAAACACCTGTCACTGTCCACCAATCAAATTTCCCTCTGAAACACTTTCTCCTCGGCAGTCAAGAGGAATTTCAGCAGCGTAGCGGCATCAGCAGGCAACACCACTCTCAACGGAGAGGACGGCGTGGAACAGACGGCCATCAAAGTATCCCTGAAATGTCCCATTACCTTTCGACGCATCCAGCTACCCGCACGGGGACACGACTGCAAACATGTGCAGGTTTGTTTTGACTTTAGAAAGCAGAAAAATAAAACGACAAAAAGGTTTTTCTAACTGTCTAACACTGTCGTCCTCTACAGTGCTTTGACTTGGAGTCCTACTTGCAGCTCAACTGTGAGAGGGGGACATGGAGGTGTCCTGTGTGCAAGTAAGGGATATTTAGTGTTGTTCGCTTGTAAAGATTAAAATGTTCTCCAGAATAACTATAACAGGGATTATTATTTTTTTGTCCTTTTAGTAAAACAGCGTTATTAGAAGGCCTAGAGGTCGACCAGTACATGTGGGGTATCCTTAATGCCATCCAGAAGTAAGTTTGTTATTCACTTATAAGGCAACATATTTTTCTATAAGTCTGTTTCAAATCAACACAATCTGCTGTCTCCTTCATCAGTTCAGATTTTGAGGAGGTCACTATCGACCCCACCTGTAGCTGGAGACCTGTTCCAATCAAATCAGAGCTGCACATAAAAGAGGATCCAGATGGACCGCTGGCGAAGCGCTTTAAGACCATGAGCCCCAGTCAGATGACCATGCCCAACGTGATGGACATGATAGCTCAGCTAGGGCCTGGTCCAGGACACGGACCAGGTCCAAGTTCCTACCCCCCTCACCCTGGTCAGCATCCCAGCGGCAATGGAGGAGATTACCCTGGAGGAGGTAAGAAACAGCAAAGAGAAATTCGTCAGATAGAAAACTCTGAACCAGTCCAACTGAAGGTTTGGATTAGATTGTCTCTGTATAGATGTGTGCTGTGAATTGGCACTATAAAAATGAAATTAAAAGAATAAAATAATAAAAGTTTAAGCAGGTGGGAAAGGAAAACAAAATGTTTTCACATGTCAAACTACTCTATATGCCCTTCACCCCCCTCCTGCCCTCCGTCCCTCCATTCATCCGTGGTTTTTGCAGGTTACAGAATGTAACTCTAGTAAATTCCTAGTGAACATTTTTTTATTTCTGTTTAAATCATAGTAGGTAATTCTCCTTTCAGTCTGGATCTAAACCACACCTTAAGTTTAGCTTTAAAGCGAAAGTTCCTGTTGCTGTTTTCTGTTGTAATGGTTGATGTTACAACTTTTCTTTACTCGAACAAACAGCTGGGAGGAAGAGCTTGATGCCCAAACTGTTTTAGTCTTTCTTCTCAGAAAGTTGTTTCTCTCCAGTAAAGAAGTTAAAATGTTTTTCTATATTTTGCATTAAAAGCCCACAGGCTGCTGTTCTTTGTTATGAACAAGTGTTTGTTTTTCTCTTTTCCGTCTGAAGGAAACAGCTACCACAATCAAGGTAGCTTTGACTTCCCTAACGGTAACCCATCTGGTGGAGGAGGAGGAGGTCCTCCTATGAATGATTTCATCCATGGCCCACAGCTGTCTCATCCCCCTGATGGACCTGGTGGTCTTCTCCCCCAGGACAAGCCCCTCAGTCACAGCATGAACGATTCAGTAAGTACATTACCAGAAATCGTAAATAAAACGTACAATGCCTTGAAAGGGTGGTAATACCCCCTTAATGTGAAGTTTGTATTGCAACATAAATCTTGAGTATTATTAGACTTTATGTGGTAGAAACCACAAAGTAGTGCATAGTTGTGGATATGCTTTGAAAAAGTTAACCTGGCAGTTGCCAGATGTGTAGAACTGAGTTGAACTCTACATTATCAATCTAGGATGGCTGCCGTTAAGTCTGTCTATGAAAATCAGAGACAATTAATACAATACTTCGAGCTGATTGGGTGACATGCTAGCTGGTACCCACCTTCTATAAAATGCTTTCAGCCAATCATAGCAGCCTAAAAGCTTAGGCAACTTGGTCGTCCATGAGAGCCCACAACGGAGACACAATGATCCCAATAGGATTTGTCTGCAGCTTATTGAGTGCTTTCACAACTAGCAGACTAAGCTGATAAATCAAACTTTTTCCAAATCCTGTCAGTAGCGAATAGAATAGAATAGAATAGAATAGAATAGAATAGAATAGAATAGAATAGAATAGAATAGAAAATCCATTTATTGCCCCACAATTTGGAAATTCTGGTGTTACAGCATTAAAAAGATAATAGAAAAAATTGTCCCACAAATGTGGACCATAGAAAAATGTATAAGAATAACATAATTGTCAAGAGAAAATTCAAAACGATAAAATACTGTACTGTAAAGTGTTTTAACTATATAAAAGCACAGACAAGTGCTTCTCTTTGCTCCTTTTTTAAACGACAAATTGTCGCTATCTTAGCTAAAGCCAGAGTCAACTGCGTTATGGACAGGTGAGTTTTATAGCATAGCCGTGGTTGCAATGCCCCAGCAAGGCCTTTCTGACTGTCATTCCTAAATGTCTCGCACCAAAGAGAAGTGCAGGCACATCATTGGTCCTCTCGCTGGTGGTTACGAGACGGACATTTTAGCGAATGGATTTGTTGTGAGACTGAAAACTCAGATCTCGCTGCAATCCAGCTTGCAGCACAAGGTTATGAAAAAGTAGCGTTACCTGCAAATAGTGCTGTAGTTTATCCCAGCCCCTGCAGAAGAAAGTGTGATTCTGCAAAAAAATATATATATATTTTTTTTTTCGGTTGGAATGGTTTATAGATTATAGTGAAATCCAGTCAGAGTTTAGTTTTAGTTTTGTTGTTCTGGTATGATCTGACTAGAATCTTCTGTGTCTCTTACATTGTCTTGTGGCAAACTGACCTTTTGGCTTTCTTTCACTAATAGCTTTTTTCTTCCATAAGTGTCAAGTTTGCACAGGGCACCAATTGATTCCACCTGGACTGTTTGTCCTACTAATCTCCTTCTCAGTTTAGATTATTATGTCTTGACAGTTTTTCTTTATCTTTTCATTTCTGAAGGATAAGGATAAGGATTTAATTTCTATTACTACCGTATGCACTACTTTGCGTTCATCTGCCTAATATAATTCAAATAAAGCTTTTGGTTTTAAAGTGACAGACCCTATACTATACTATACGCTACTACTATAGTGTCTCATTCTCCAAGTGAGGGAGAACATAACTCTGCAGGCAAAGAGACAAAATAAAGACTGTTAACCAACCTGTTACCTGAAAGAGGTTCAGCCTATACCTCAAAACCAGCATGTGTGCTTAGTCATGCTCACATGCTCATGCATCCATTTTAAAGGCCTGTTCTTCATTATTCATTCTCATTTAGTCCACCCTCTCCTGCCTTAACACGTTATCTTCCCCCTCTGTGTCTTTCAAATTCGATCCTTATCCTTTCTTTTCACTCTCTGGCTTTCTGTTTGCGTCTCGCACCTGCAGATGTCCCATTCAGATCAGTCCCATAACCCCATGCAGCAGAGCATGCATGTGCCTCCCCACACTGGCAGCCAATCAGGGCCGCCCTTACATCACAGCGGCCAGTCAGGGCCGCCCCTACATCACAGCAGCCAATCATCGCAGCCTCCTCGCCAGCAGCAGCAACAGCCCCAGCCGCAGCCTCAGCACCCTGGGCAGAACAGTCACCCCCACAGCGATCTGAGCTTTAACCCCTCCTCAGAAGCGCAGATGGCTCAGGGAGCCCAGGACATGCCCGAACCCTCCCTGGATGTAAGTGTGTCTTGCTTTGGCATCGTCTGCTACAGCTGCTCTCATCTCTTTCCTGTCTGCTTTGATTGCCACATGCGTCTTCTAAAGAAAACTGAGCAGATTGATATTTTAAAGGCGCCTCACCTCTTTATTTTGATGCTTTTCCCACACAGCTGCTTCCAGAGTTAGCCAACCCGGAAGAGTTACTCTCCTACCTGGACCCTCCCGACCTCCCCGCCAACAGCAACGATGACCTGCTCTCCCTTTTTGAGAACAACTAGCCCCTCCCACGCTCTCTTCCTTTGGACACTCGGAGCAGCTAGCCGCCATCACGCATGCCAACTCACTCGAACTGTTTCTGTGTTCATGAGGGACGTATGGCTCAGGAGCATGGCTGAGAAGGAAGCAGGACATCAATGCTCCACCCCTGCACTCCCCCCTTTTTATTTGTTTCATGTAAAGATTCCACACACCAGTTCCACCTCCTCTGGCTCCACCATTTGTAGCCATGTTTGTGGGCACTAAATTAATATGAAATATTTATATATTATATACACATACTATATATGTGTATATGAGCATATATATATATATATATATATATATATATGTATGTATATGTGAATTTACAACTGAAAACTGTGCAGCTATAATCATATATGACAACACAGAGGAGGAAGGAGCCTTGTGTTGTAGCTTTCTTTTCTTTCTTTTTTTTTAAGATAATTTTCCTTTTGACAAAAGAGGAGTCAGAGGGATAGCCATTGGGTTGCAGAAGTGTTAAATAAATCCCAAATGAAATTTGTTCTTCCAAATTGTCTACAATGCACAACCCCCTGCCTTCCATGTGTGTGTGTGTGTGTGTGTCTTCAGAGTAGGTGAGCGCATGTGCAGCGGTGCGTGTTTATCCGTATATGGGTGCATGTCAGTAAACTGGGATTTTATTTAAAAGTTAATTTATTTTAGCAATTTAATGGAGAATGGGAACTTCAACTCAATTTGAAAAATTGAATTGGATTTTAATTTATAATAAATCATAAATTCAAGTGTGAGATGTACCCTGAGTATGCCACCAAGTTTCCTCTTGGTTTTTCTACCTGTTCTTGTGATCATCAAAGCCAATTGTATAGTTTTAATCTTTGTGACCAAAGCTTATAGCTAATGAAAACCCTAATTTTAGAAGCTCAGAAAATTTGAATGTTACATAAAGCCCATATTTGTTGTTTTTTTTATATTGAAATCTTATGCTATGTCAATCACGGGGGTGACTCCTGATATAATAAGGCTAAGCCAAAATAGATCACTGCTATTAATAGAAAGTTAAATGGAAGGAAAATGTGTGAAAGGATATTTAAAATCAATTTATGCTTCCCTTTGGAGATCCTGATTCAATTTTCTAATAGCACCTCACCACATTCCCAAAACGACCTGTAGCAGGTGTGATCACCATAGTACAGCCAATCATCTGATGTTCTGCAGAGGGAGATGGAAGAGACCAGGCCCAATGATAAGTTTTTAGGCTTCAATGAGGTAGTTTTTTGTAGTTTATTTTTATATTCCTCACAGCTGTAATGAAAAAAAACATTTTTACATTACATGAGTAACATGATCTGCAACTGGACCTTACTGCCTTGTAGAAAGACGAAGAAGAAGGATTAGTTGGAGCATGATGTCACAGAGTATTTGGATTCATGAGACAAATTAGTATTAGTATTAACAATTATTTCGCAATGATGAGCCCGATGAGCACTAGAGCTGTGGCTGAAACATGGTTGTATCTCAGGTTTACATCCGCCGCTGCCATATTAACAAAAGTATTTATGTGGATTTAATTGTATTTAATATGCTAATGAAAATACCCCAATTTCAAAAATGTACATTTTAAATAAGCAGAATATCGGCATTGTTTTGCACACATTTAAAACACATAAATTAACACTAAAATTATATTGGTATGTGTGTAATTGTTAATTCTAATTTATTGAGATGCACCCAGAAATGTCCTGCTTTTTCTTTGGTTGTGAACTTTTCAGAAAACACAGAAGGGGGAGGGAGAGAAAAGAAAAAACAGACATCCGTTTAAAGTGTTCTCATACCCCATGATGATTTTTTCCCCCTTCCTTTTGAGGTTTTCTGTCATATTTCATCCCAAGTGCGCATGTGCCAACTGCCCCCCTTGTCTTCGTCCTGCCTGAATGTGCACAATCTTTTTTCCCTCATATGTTTGGCTTTGGTTTGATTTTTCCATGTTGTCCCTGTTCATGTTTGATCATCACCCCCAGCTGTAATTAATCAGATCTCATCTTTTGAAATCACTGTGTTCTAAATGGGAAAAAACCCACATCTGTTTGAGTGTACATTATTTCCTTCTGTCCTGTTTTCCCATTTAAACTGCATCCTTTAGGTAAGAAAACCAATGTGCATGATGTTCCAGCAGTGCTCCCAGACTTGTTGTGTGTATTATATCCCCCTTGTGACTGTACAGTGCTGTACTTAAAACTATTAGTGGCTACGTCATGGTACTGTGTGTCTGTCCAGGCCTGCACATGCTCACACACACATATACACAAAACTCCTGATCACAGCCTGATATTCTAAGGAATCTATCCATATGCACTGTCACAGGGCTTGTACTAAGTGTATTGTATATCTTAACCCCAACCCTGTGACAATGCATTAGCAAAAAGATTTAAAACTATCCTGCAGGCTATTCTGAGGTATTTTTTTATTTTTATATTCTAGATGTACGTAAAGTCCAATCAGCTTTAAATGAGCTCTGTGTTTCTTTCCGTCTAAAAGATTGTAAATGCAGCTTCGAGGTCCAAATTTTTCCCAAAAATCTATTTTGTTTATCAATCATGTAAACGAGTGACCTCGTCCTCTCTATTTAAAGTGAGAATGTGCAAAAAAAAAAAAAAAAAAACGAGGCCTGAAGATGAGTGATCAGTCTCCACACTTATCAGAATTTGTGTATTTTTCTCATATTTTATATTGTTTTAAGTTATTCTTGTCCAATGTTTTTTTTTTTTATTTACGACCAGTTTGATTTGGTTTATGCAGTTGCAATGCAGTACAATGAGCTTAACAAAAAAAGAAAAAAAAAAAAAAAAGGCTTCCCAGTTTAAGTTCCACTTACCTTCCGGAACCAAAATTCATTTAAGACGATGCACTGCCGCGTCGGAGGGATGCCAGCCCTGCACAGTGTGTTATGATACATATAAGCTCTCACAGATTCACATCTCGTAATTTCGCGACCCGGTTTGTATTTTTTCTGATGGCAGATGTTGGGATGAAGCAGATTGATCTCAAAGAGACGGCGGTTGATATTGTAAAATGAACTCTGAAGAGGATTCTCCTTATGGGAGGGGTCTTTGGGCGGGGTTTGGGGATTTAAGGGATATTTGTATATAATGTAAATGACAAAATAGAGACACATTAACAGAAATGTATTCATTTTTTTCTCCAGTGGGAGTGTGCATAGTGTATTTAGAATTTGTAAAGCTTGCATCCTCCTGTCAGACGTTGCATTGAGAAAACTAGTCTGTGTTTGATTGCCTCTGTGCAGACCTCTCTAACCACGCCTGTTCATTTAATGTAAGATACTTAATGCCACCTTCCTCACGGGGTTCAGGAACAAACAAACAAAAAAAAGAGGGTTTTGCTTTGCTTAATGTTAAACCTCTGTGTTTTTCACTCTTACCTGTGTACTTTTTAAAGGTGCTACAAAATAATTAAAAAGCTTTTTAAGGTATAACTGAGCTTCGGGTGGCTCCCGAGTGTGGCATCCAAAAATTTACAGTTTGTAGAAACAAAATTTTGACAAATTTGTAACTTTTCTGAAATATGGCAAATGTGCTGTAAAGGTACAATCTGAAGCGATTGGCACAAGTGGCAATTGTCTTATTTGGTTTTTTTGTACATTCTGTGTACAATCATTTCATATTCTAAACTGGTCAGAAGAACATTGTGATTTTTAGTCTTGCAAATCTGTATGTAGTTAGATTATGTGACATCCTAATATTTATCTAATAAATATGTATTCAGATGAAACACATCAAACCGCTTCTGTCTTTTTCTATTATTGCTATCTGTGAAACAAATGTACTAAAAGCCCTGAAATATATATATTTTTTGTATTAACTTTAGAAGTAGCCTTAAATTTTAGGACATTTACTTTGTGTGTGGGGAAAAAATCACAAATGATAGAAGCAGATCAGAAAAACTATGATAATAGCAATTCAAGTTGTTTTAAATTTATTTTTACATAAAGCATGCCTCACAGGCCCATTCCATGTAGCTACTGGCCACCACGCTGGATAAGAAACCATGTTTAATTTGCCCAAATACACAGTAACCAGAATGGTATTGAGGTAAAATAAAAATCAAGCTTAAAAGCTGTGAGTGAGATGAATTAAGCAAAGAATTGCCTGTTTGGGTCAGATGCTATTGAAATGCTAACCCATTGTTTGGGAAGCCTCCCAGTAAGTCTTTTTCATCCTACAGTCACAAACCTACCAATACTGTATGTGGAATTAGTTTTTTGGCTTAACTAGAACCTTGTGCTTGACTTAGAAGAAGACTGAGCTCCTCAGCAAAAACACTTATTTATGGGGTTGGTGCAAGACTAAAGACAAACCTGTTCTGCATGGAAACTGTCCAATATGGTGAATGGTTTGTGAGGCTGGCCTCTTTTTTATTCCTCCAAAGGCTCCCATAGCAAAAGGGAGCTCACAATAAAACCACTGTGTTAGATACTGTGACACAAATGGTGTAGTAAGTAAAAAGGAGGGAGGATTCTTTTTTCAAATTTTATAACTTAAGATCACTCTCCATGAATAGCAGATTCATGCAAAGCGTTTTACAAATACTAACAGTACCAGGCTGCCAATAAATATAGAGGGTACTGTTTCTCTCTGAACAAATAACACTGTCTGTGCATTGCTTTAAGCAGTCATTCTAAAAAGTGTTTTCAGGTGGTTGTATGATTTTTTTTATTATATATACATGAAGCACATGCAGGGATGGAATGTTGAATACGGTTTTAGATTTTAGATTTTTTTAGATGACGTGTTGCTAGATTTGAGTGTGAATAAATAAATATACTGCCAAAAACAATCATTAGCTTTGCCTCAAGTGTGTAAACCCTATAGAGAAAATATACATTTTATTCAGCTAGTTAACAAGAGACTATTATCCAAACCTCAAAACAAAAACAATTTTTTTAAAGAAATTTGTATTTTTCAGTCTACACTCATTGGCAGTGCTTATACACAGACATTTATTGGGGCAAGTGCTCAGGGCACCTTATATGTCGCATGGAGCTATAAACGGCCAAACACCGCCTGATGCTGACGTTTTAACGATCTTCCACAGTTCATAGGTAGAAATGCCACATTGGTGTCACTTAAATAAATAACAATTTCAAAACCTTACCCAGAACTCCATAATGTATTTAATTTTATTGGGTATATATATGACAATTTGCAGATGAACTAAGATTTACATTTAGAATATGAAAAAAACACAACTCTGTTATCTTATTTGAAGTGCATAATATTTAATAATATTATTTTAAGGTTAAAAACTCTTATTCCACTGACAGATCATCTTCCTTCCCTGTTCAGATAAGAGACAAATAATAATTATAATTATTTTCAGAAAATGTTACATATTTTCAGGTCGTTTTTTGCAGTCCAACATAGGCACAGAATTTGAAAATGCAGCTTAATCCACATGCCCGACTTAAAATGAATAGAACTTTATTAAAGTTATTTTTACAAATTGGGATAATTTGACCTTGTTTGGCATCATGTTTGCTTTGCATGTTTGTAATTTTGTCCATACAGCTTTTCGACAGTGAATAAGCAGCTTAGCAGTGAGAATTACAATTTCTGTTTAGAAAGTGCAGCAGTGATCAAAATGGGAACAGTGTAGGAGAGACATGGTGCATTGATGTGGAAGGTTCAGAGCAGTGCAAAAAAAAAAAAAAAAAAATGTGGTTCAAAATGCACTTGGAAAAACAGTTGAGTTCTATCTTGAAGATTCACTATGTAGTGCAGATATGTTTACAAGTGTGCGATTAGAGTTTTCAACAGTCTTATGGCAACGGGGGAAAAGCTGTTACAGAACCTGTTGAACCACTGAATACTGCGAAGCCTCTTCCTAGAGGGTAGCAGGGAGAACAATCTATGGTGGGGGTTTGAGGGTTCATAGATGATGTTACAGGCTCAGGACACGCAGCGCTCGGATGAAATGTTTTTTATAGAGGGGAAAAGAGCCCCAAATGCTACTCTCTGCTGTTCTCACTACTCTTCCCACATTCTTCCAGTCTGAGGCGCTGCAGCCTCCACACCACACAGTGAGACAGCTGGTCAGAACGCTCTCTATGGTGCTTCTGTAGAAGGTCGTGAGTATGGGTGGGGGCAGGTGGGTTCTCCTTATCCTCCGCAGGAAGTACAAGCAGATATTATGGGTCAGATGCTGCCTCCTCTTTCAGTGATTAACCACTTAGAGGGGTGCTAATAAACTTATTTATAAAGAATCCTGTAAAATAATTAGTGCTAAAAGCAGGGTGGGTGGATGGTTCAACAGAGCTATGGATCTGGGTGAGTTTGGCAACTGTATTAAAAATAAATCTGTGATTATTCTTTATTTACTCTATCAATGAGGAGAAATATGCTGCACTTGCTTTATGAAGGGTCCTCTTATACAGCAGAATTTTTTTTCAGACTAGGTAGGATTCCTGTAGGCATTTAGAGCACCATTTTCTCTCCAGTTTCCTAGCATTTTGCCTTAGAGTGTACAGCTCTGCATTAAAGCTACAGTGTGTAATTTTCAGCGACATCTAACGTCCAGACTGCAGACCGCTTCTCCCCCCCAACAGTACGCGAGCGTTACGGGACAAAATGTCTTCCACGACGTCCGCATCACCTACCTTCTCAAGTGATGAGGTTTGTTTACATAGATAATTTTACAGATAGTATTTCATTAGTCTGTGTGTTCAGTACCGTCTCAGTTCATCTCTCTCAACTTGCCGTAGTTACTTTCGAGCGTAATGGGCGATCTCGCAATCGCTAGTTTGTTGGCTCTGCGCTGCCGTAGCGCAAAGATGTCTGCCTCCATGGCTGCGAGACTCGCTCCTATGTAATTATAAATAACGAATTCTAAGGCAACGCAAATATTAAGGTTAAGAGGCTGAGCTTGTAGATGATGATAAATAACATAGTTATGTATAATATATTACATTTCTGACTGTATATCCCTGTAATTATTACACACTGTAGCTTTAAACCAGGGAGCCAGCTTTCTATTTTTAATTTTTTTTTTCTTTTTCAAAGGGGCTGAGTCATCTAAGGCAGTACACAAAGAACTAGCAACCCCTTCAATAAAATCATCGACCTGTGATGGAGAATAAACTAAACTTTTTCCCTTTGCAACAATGCTAAGTAACACAGAGGAGAGAGAAAGTGAAGTAGAGTCTTTAAAAGTAATTACTGAATTATGTGATAATGATCTGCTAAATTGAAACCTTCTTTTGGGGGAGTAGAACTATGTTAATATCAGTGCCATATGTCAGCACAAGGTCCAAAGTGGGAAGATGAGAATATGTGGAACTACTCACAGTTTAAATAAAGCCAATCGAGTCTAAGATAGCAGAGAAAAACATGATTCATAAACATAATACGTTTTTTTTTTTCTTTTTACATCAAAAAATATATTTTTCCAAATAAGAAGCAAGGGGACACATTTTCAGAATGTATATATTATGAACAAAGTAACTTAAATATTTTATATTAGATATATTTCTACCACATTCAGGTGAGTATAACTTATTTGTTTGGATAAATATGGTTGGATTTCTTTTATGGAGGACCAATCCTACCACAATTGAAAATACAGGAATAAATAAATCTAGTGTTTTTGAGTTTTATGTTTTCATTTAATTTTATCCTTATGCTATATAGTGTATAATCTAAAGAAAGGAACAGCTAAAATGCAGATAAACATGGTTTAATCATATTTCGCCAGACTGCTCTTAGCATGTCTGATGATGACATCAGAAAAGCAGTTTGACGAAGCAAATGAAAAAAGCGTAAAAATTGTCTCACAAAAGCCATAAAACATTTTTTACAGATGTATATTACTATTCTTTAGTGAGTTAAGGATAGAAATAAGTAGTTTTAGTACCATAATTACATTATTTATGGATACCGGATGCATATTTGTTCTCGCATGTGCACAATTGATCATGCTTGTGGGACGGATCGGGTAGTGACAGGCAGAAGTTGAGCCTACTCATTTGCATCATGAGGCAGAAATGGATACAGAAATGTAAATACAACAGGCAGAAATAAATAGCATGGAAGAAATAAATAGGGTAAAAAAAAATACAAAGGAAGACTAAACCAAACAAAAATATTATAACATGCACAAAAATAATTACTTAAAGAAATAAGTAATAAATAACTAAAGTTGAAGATTATAACAGACAATAAATAAATAAGGTAATTATTACAAAGGTGAAAAAACAAAGAAGCTGATTAAAAGAGAGATATACATTTATGTCTCACTGTATAATTTAATTTCTATCTACATTCAATTGTTTATTGTATTTTAATTGTATGCTTATTTATTTTGGAGCATTTATTTATTTCTATATTTATTTTTAATTATGGCAGGATTGGTCCTCCATATTCTTTGACCAGAAAGATTAAATATTATTCGGATGTTTTATTTCCTACCACGTGGTGTCGCTGTTTCCTTCCTTTCAAATCTGCCTCCTTCAGTGACGTCACATGTAAACAGCGTCTAACCCCCAATGGCCGCCTAACCTCAGCTGAGCAGCAATGTTACAAATTAAAAAGCGCATGAGGTACAGCCCGTTGGGTCTGGCTGCAGCTCGGCTGCTCTCCTCAGGCTCCACCAAGAAGCCCACCGTGTTTCTGGACATCGAGGCCGACGCTGAACCTCTTGGGAGAGTCATCATTGAGGTAGCAGCTGCAGCTAAACACACTAAGCTCCCATAGACTTTGGTTTGACTCACAGAGATCCTTACTGTTTCCTCTGACAGCTCAATGCGGATGTAGTGCCAAAGACTGCAGGTATGCATCTAAATTATCTTGAACAATCATGTTTGTTTATTTGAACTGTTATGCAAATATATTTGTGAACAGAAAACTTCAGAGCCTTGTGCACAGGAGAACATGGCTTTGGATACAGAGGCTGCAGGTTTCACAGGATCATCCCTGAATTCATGTGCCAGGTAGGAGGAGAAGTGATGAATAATAAAAATAAAATAAGCTGCAGGGATTGCCATGAGTTTCCATGTTTTGTTTTCTTTCACAGGGAGGAGACTTCACAAATAACGACGGCACAGGGGGAAAATCTATTTATGGAAAAACATTCAAAGATGAGAACTTCACTTTAAAACACACTGGTCCAGGTAAAAGCCAACATATTTTGGGAGAGTTCTCTCACTTTATCAAACACATCAAACCTCCTCATGATTAGAAACACCACTGACAGAAAATGCATTGTTGGAAATCTTTTCTAATCCAGGTGTTCGCTGATTCCAGGTTTCTTATGTCAGTGTTTTGATCAGAATCACTAAACACAACCATGAGCAATACATTATTTTTTTTCCTAAAATAACCTAAAACCCCAAAGTGCATTCAATGTAAATCATCTCAACAAGCCTACAAGTTGGGAGAACAGGTGAAGAACAGGTTCCTGAGAAGGCAAGCTGTTCTTCATTGCAGGAATAGCTACCAAGGTGTGATCACATCCACTTTTATAACATTTTAAAGCATCTAGTTGTATGACCTCTGTGTTCTAAAGTTTGTGCTGTAAAAAAAATTCTGCATGCTGTTAGGTATGGAACCAAATCGTTACCATATTTCAAATGAAAAAGCATTGCTTTTTCATTTTAAGAAAGTAATCATTCTTAAAATGAAAACTCTTCCGGTCTCCTTATTTTCATGGACTTGGAAGGATCCAGTCTAGGTAGACGAGCCATGGACAGTACTTTGCTTGCAGGCCACAACCTGGCAGACCCCCAGATATATATCAGGGCTGTGTAAAACTTATTTTGAGTCAAGAAGCAGTTTGTGGGAAAAAAATTACTTTGAAGACTGCAACAAAGGAGAAAGAAACTGTTTGCTTTGGGGAGTGGTGGACTTGTGGTTAGAGCATTGAGCTTGGTTTCTGAGTTCAAGTCCCACTCATTTCCACAGACTTCCACCCTGAGCCCCTGAGCAAAGATCCTTTACATCCCCGACTGCTCCCCGGGTAACACACAATGGCAGCCCACTGCTCACCAAGTGATGGGTTAAATGCAGAGAGTGAATTTCCCCAATAAAAGGATTAACTTTTTTTTCCAGTTATTATATTTGCATCTCCACTAGATGGCAGTGTCTAACCTCAGGCAGGCATAAAACCTTCTGGTCACATAGATTTCCCAACCCTGTTGTGAATGACCTACTTTTTAGTGACCAAAAATTCACAAGTCAAAATAATTTATTTTCTTAAATCAACATCAGAGATTGCATAAGCCACGGAGGAAGAAAAACAGGCCTTCGTTTCCTTAAAGTTTCTTGACTTTGTATCATATGTTTTAATGACACTTTTAGAGATGTTCTGCAGTCTAACAACAATCTTTTCTGAATGACTTTCTGATCTCTGCAGGAATCCTTTCAATGGCAAACTCAGGGCCTCACACAAACGGATCCCAGTTCTTCATCTGTACGGCTAAAACTGAATGGTAAATCCTCACCTCGTTATAGAATATCCTCACATCCATACCCGTCTCCTAACGGCGTCTCATTTGGCAGGCTGGATGGTAAACATGTGGTCTTCGGGCAGGTGAAGGACGGAATAGATGTGGTCATGAAGATGCAGACCTTTGGTCTGCATGATGGAGGTGTGCTAAAGACAATAGTCATCACTGATTGTGGAGAGATCAAATAGCAACCAAAGTCTTTCCTTGGATGCTTTATTATGCAACACTTATATTTTTTCTATTTATGATCCTTTAATTCAGGTTTTTTTTTTTTATATATATATCTAGCTTAATATTTTCTGCAAAATGATCAAGATATTGGTCAAAACAACTGATTGATCAATAATAAAAGGGCATTTATAAGTGTTTACAGATTTTTCATGATGCAATTAATGAGAATAAGTTAAGACATTTCTCCCAATAAAATACACCCAAATGCACTTTGTACAATCTGATGTACAAGAGTTAGAATAATATGCAAAAACCCAGTAATTGATCTGTTGCTTAAGTCCTTTATTTCAATAATAGTAGAAAAAATGAGAGGGTTTGATTTTTTTTGTTGTTGTTGCATTTGTTTAAAGGAAACGTCTGGACATATTCAGAATTCAAACTTCTGAAAGTACTTTAAAAATAAAATAATTATATACTGTTCAATAAATGATAAGCGCTTTTAATTAAGAGCAATTTTCATTTGAATGTGCTTTACTGGAGACATCCATGTTTGTCAAAGAACACTACTGCCACCTACTGGTTTGTGACGTCACAGTGCGGTATCGGCTGTTGAGCAAGTCCCAGTGCTGTATCTGATGTTTGTCACTACGTGCTATTATCCAAGTCATCTTGAAAACATTCTTCTTCGAAAAGTTGGCTACATATTAGGTGTTTTTTTTCTCTGGTCAGAAGTTCGATCGCAAATCCTGCCCCTTCAGTTTGGCAATCCAACGACAACTCGTGGATCATGAATCGGAAAGGTGAAATAGCTATATATTTTTTTCATTTTTACCCGATGTATTACAACATCCAACTGCCTTGCACGTGGGCATTGTCAGTTTAACTATAACTCTTGCGAAATTCAATAGTGAAGTCCTCTCGAAATCTTAAATAATTGTTGATTGCAGATGTGTAGTAGTTCCCATTATTTTGCTTACCGCAACGTGATGTCACTGCCGGAAGATGTTAGGAGTGAGCTGTTAGTATATTTGTTCAAAAATGGCCACTCCCAGACTCTGTTTGCAACAAAAATTATTGTTTTTATTTTTTACTTATTAATGTATTTCTTTTAGGTATACATTAATGATCCATTGATTATTCCTTGCAGACTGGACTTTTCCTTTAAATAAGATTAGAGAGGTTTCTCTTTTTTTTTTTACTAGAGTAAACATTTTTCCAAAGTTTGTGCAATTTCTTGGTGTCATTGGGCTTTCTGTTGCCTAAGAGGCCAAACTATCTGCTTTTGTTTTGTTTTGTTTGTGGTGAAGCAGATGTCTCGGTGTGTTTTTACTAATAGATACTTTCTATGCAAGTCCTTCTGAAAATGGCCTTTTCGGCTGAAATGTAACCTTTCCAAGTATGTAATCTGCGTGGGAGCAAGAAGTGTGTTTATCCAAATATGTGTATATGGTATATTGTTCAGCATTAATATGCTAGAGGGGAACGGACTTCACAGATGCGGAACTAACCCATGAACACACCCACACACTGCTGGACTCCAGCCTATAGCTGAGCCTTTTACACCTAGTGCCAAGATTTGTCATAATGAAATACAATTTTCTGATCCCTAAGACTTTTTTTTTTTGTTTAGAGTGGTTCCTTCCTATACTTTGTTGTTCTTTAATCCTACAGGTATACACTTAATTTGTGGTTGCAGTACATGACAGGTTCAGTGACCTGAACACACTGAGTGATTTCCTGTGCTTTTTAACACATAAATACATGAGAACAGAAAGCAAATTCCTTTTTTTTATTAACCATAACTAATGTGTTTTCACAGGACCTGAACTGTATTCATGTTTTATTACATATAGCGATGAATTACACAAAATCTTTACTTCCAAAAGGGTTAAAGGTGGCTCAAATGTTTAACATTTGGGCCACTTTAACAGCTTTGTTGCCTTTTTCTATTTAAATTCCGTTTTATAAGATCTTATTATTAGATATGAGATTTTAAAAATACAATATGACTTGGTCTGTAACTTCATGGACAATTAATAAGCAGTTTTACAGCTCTTTACAAGCTGTGGTCTGATTACAGGACATTTCTCTTGTGCCACCACCATGGTTTTAAAGCTTCCTGGAAACAAACAACAAAAAACAGTTCTTGCTTTTTTTAGACCAGCGTTTCTGCACAACCGACTTCCTGTCCTTTGGAGCAGGATGTGACATCCAGATCTGAACACAGTAACCAGAGGATGAACATGTAAACGACGGTATATGTACTCTGGGTTCAGTCGGGGAAGATTGTTTGGTTTGGTTTGCAGGAACCACAGAGGAACCTGAAGATGTGTTTAGATTTGCAAGTAGGCTCTTTATTTGAAAGGAGGAGGCCGGGCTCGGTCTGGAAGCCTGACAGTGGGTGGTGCTGCTTATCAAACGAATACTTTATGAAAGTAAATAATGAAGCAACGTGAAAAGGCAAGCGATCCACTGCTAAATAAAAGCACATGTGTCCTGACCTTCCATCGTTTGTTTGAATTCTCAGATTACATTGTTGCCATAGTGACTTTTTTTCCTGCTCCGGCTCAGTTTGGGCTAAAAGATGTTGTAACAAACTTGGTATAATTTGGGTCTCCACCCTCCCTTAGTTTTAGCCATTTGGAATGCAGGCCCAAATATCGGGGATAAGAAAGCCTTTTGGTGCTGTGCAAACATGATCAAAACAATAACATCTTTTACAACCAAGACCAGCCGGTTTCTCTGTGAAATGTCTCTCATTTAGCACCCTCTGTCAGCTGCTGTCCTTTTTAAGTGTGTTTTGGGGGGTTTCCTGTTCACAGCCAGACTCCGGGTGTTGGAATGTAAGGCCTGGCAGTTTTAGGTGTCTGTTATCTTTCAGCACTTTCACGGAATGTAAAATTCCAAAAAAAAAGAAGTTTTACACATCTCTTATACAGCAGCCATGGATAATCCATTAGATCCACTCATCGTAATGTAAAATACTCAATCTTTACTTAAAGCTTGCACTCAAACACTTAGATTTTATACGATTGTAAGAACAAAAAATGTCAAGATAAAAAAAAAGATAATTTTTATTACATTTTGTTCCACTTAAACTACATAATGTCAGTATATTTGATTAAGAGTTTATGTGACAGACCAACATCTGTCTGCCCAATTTGAGATACACTCAATCCTTCTTAGAAATGTAGCTTTATTGACTTACAGGATGAAATAAAAAGGCACGCCTTGCTTTTTTAGTCAATTAAAGTTTTAGACAATTTTTATTTTTTTGTTCAAATCACATAAATTCACAATAAAAACCTTAAATTGTGCTGCTGCAAAATGACATGAAACAAACTGTAGATCTCTGGTAACAATAAGGAGGATTAGGCTAAAACCAGACATGATAAAATAAAAACACAACACTGTTTTAGCTGTTATAAATTTTCCTTTAATTTACCAAGCTCTCAACAGCTCCAAAGCACTAATATGTTTTCCCATCTATCAAATAAGGCACATTTTGGAATGCCGTTTCATGGACACGGAAAAACAGACCTGTGGCCGACACTGCGAACCTCTCAGTCCTCGTTTCCCCACCAAAAAAAAAAAAAAAAAAAATAAATCAATTACCTTGTGCCTGCATTCCTTCCAATTCAAACATTACATTATTGCAATATTGCATTGCAAACATCTCGAGATACAAACACATATACACTCACAGCACAGAGAGAAACAAAACGCTCCAACTCAACCACACTGTTAACACATTACATTCAGTAAATATGTGTTAATCAAAGAGGCTACATTGTGGTAAATGAGATACTTCGGGACTAACGTTGCAGATAATGTTCAGCTACTGTAAAGGGTTTTAAATAAGTGTAAATTGCACAAAGTAATATTTCATCCAAACACATGCACATGCAAACTCGGACAGTTCTTTGTCAAACACACTTTTCCTGACCAGAGCGTAACACGTCCTAAACTACGAATAACACTTTTATAACAGTTTCCTGTCGTTGCTGCTTTAAGCAAACTACATCTCACAGTTTAATGTGCTTATACAGTGGTGAATATCCATCACTAGAATAAAAACAAAAATACATTTCTGCATGTTAACACAATGAATCTGCATATTAGTGTTTACAAAAAGAATACATATTTTAGGGATGGTTAGTCGCATAGCAACAGGGGTTATTTAACACTGCTAACACACGAAAAATACAATGGCTTGTATGTGAGACATGGTATTAATTATGTACCAGCTTTTTGTCTAATAATACTCTATGTAGAGATCAATATTTCCTTCTTAGTGTAACTTTGTTGCATATTCTATACAAAAAGTCTTGTAAAAAGTATTTCCATAAATATTTCTGGAGGATATCCCTCCAGATAAATGTAAAATATAACAAGAACAAATTCCCCAGCTTTGATTATTTCCCAGCAACAGGCCCTTCTTTAGATCTTTAGAGAAACAAAAAGAAGCTAGATATTGCTAAACATTGGAACTCAAAGCCATCAAATATATACAGAAAACGTCTCCGTCAGGGAAATAAGCTGCAGATTGCTTTAGAAATTTCAACATCTAGTTATGTTTCCAAAATACACATCTCATAGAAAAAACATATTTCTGATCTGCAGATGTACTAGAAAATTCAATACATTTATGTTTAAAAGTTCATTATCTCTTTTTTTTATGTATTCCACCATTTGCTTCAAGATAAGCCATTTATAATGGCGTTCTTATGTCACATTTCTGGATGGAAACAAACTGACAAGATTTTTTTATTGATCTTCTCCCATAATAACACTGTTTCTTATGAGGTTAATTTGTAAGGCATCATTGGCATTTAGTCTGGCAAACCACTTAGTGTCAGTGAGCAAAGCAAAAGCAAAACACTAGCAGTAAGACAATTGGATTGTTCCCGATATTGAAGCTCTGTTATGAGTCTAAGAAAAGAGAGACTGCCAAATTTTCAGTTTAAAGAAGCACTACAGAACTTTTCATGAAAAAAGCTTCCTCATCATTTTTTAATGTAAAGCTAACAGATGAGCTTTCTCAAACCTTAGAAAATTACCTTAGTGGTGTCTGAATAATCTGCCATAAGGGATCTCAGTTTTAATCAATAGCCAAGCAGGCTTTTTAGTGTGGAAGTTGTTAAAAAGAAGGAAGACTGCATATTTCTCTATTGTAAAGGTGACAAAAAAATAATTTCAGAGTGACCAAAAAGAAATCTCCCTGAATGGGAATTTCTACGTTAGCTGCTCCTTCGGGCTGCAGCTCGTAGCTAGAAAATGGGACATCTGCAGGTAACAGAAAGCCCAACATTTTAAAGCACAGTTTCTAGTTTCTTTGTTTGAGGACTAGGGGAATCCAGTTTACCTGCAGAGCTGTGTAACTTCGTCTAACGCTTGTACACGAGGGACTTCTTATGGCTCCTCAGTAGCTACAATATTATTTGAATAAATGATAAAACCATTAACTACCAAAGTAAACTATGTTCCTCCCATATGTTGAGTTGGAGACATCCCTCATTTTGAATAATTTTCTAAAATAAAATCACATTTACATTTCAAGTTGTGCAAAAGAAAGATCTATAGTCCTTCCTAGTTAGGTTTTATTGGTACGGATGCATTTGTCTCCATACCAGCTGAGACTCTGCTGTATTATATAAAGTCACCAATGGAGAGAGATTTAATTTTATGTTAGAAGTACAAAAATACTTATTTTTATTTTATACAGCTCATAAAGTAAATATTTCAATAATCAGAAATGAGTATGGAGAGGTCAGAAAGCTTTGACTGGCCCATTACCAACACCTGACGTTCACAGGAGATCCAATCATTAGGGATATTTCCACCTGCTGCATGAATGCAATTAGATCCTATTGTTTACTGCATATTTCTAGGTGGTCTTTCTGTAAACATATATGGCCCAATGTCTTTGGCACTCAATAGGCTACAGGTTCTGCACCACCGTGTGTTGCCAGAGACTTGCATAAGCATTTCATTACAAGCAGATGAGGAATAAAAAGTAAACTAGAGCCTATAGCTGGTAAAGGAATTCCACCGGGTCTTTATTAACAGGTATCCTAAGCACTTTTAGGATGTTAAATCACATCACATTTTAATTCCAGGCCTGAGTTGTTATTTAAAGCTCACTATAAGCGATTTAATCATCCCGAAAAAGCAAGTTAATGCCAGGTATGATGTAATCTTTTAACAGGCAGGGTAGTTTGCAAATGATTATGTTATGGGACTATATGGAAAACAGATTAGTGGAATTTTGATTTTATTCCAAGTGACTTAAAAGTGAGTAAGACGTTTGGTTCTGTTAGTGTTAAGCCCTTCAGCTTAGTGGACCAGCAGATCTAAATCCCTGGAGTGCCCTTTTAACTGAAAAGTTGGCATTTAGTTACATTTCCACACACAGTGATGTAACAATGACTCCAAATGCTGCAAGTTACTGTTTATGCTTTTTATGTTGTTTTTTTGTCCTGTTTTGTTTTTGACAAAAACCAACATTCTCTTGGATAAACACAACCGCAATATATAATAAGGGAAAAACAAAACAAAGCGTGAGGTCCAAAGTTTCATAAGCATTTCACTCTGCTGAGAGGATCGAAAGAAGAAATAAAATCTATGTTGATATTCCATGACAACAGACCACAGTGGGATTGTTATTGCCAGCTGGAAACGCTGGTCCAGCAAATTGCTCTGAAGTGAACACCCGCCATGCCAGTTCAACCGCTAATAGAGGGGCTTTAATCTTTTTCTCATCCTTTGTCACATCTTGAACCTCCATCAGACTTTCTGAGCATCCCAGTTAGCACATACACTGCTCCACCTTTGAGCCCACCACACTTACCCTTCAACCTTCAAACCCATTGAAGGCACATGCATTTTACAGTATAAAAATATATTCAACCGGTCTTGAAATACAGTACATATAACATGTAACAATCTTATGGAAAAATAAACCCTTAAAAGGCAGATTTCAGTCATTTAAAACACTAATTATTCAAATCTACAGTTTGAAAATACCTCCTTTTTATTACAAAGTTTAAGATCAAAGGCACTGAGAAAAATACTGCATCATATAACATTCTATATTCTTTGACGAATAGTCCAGGATTTTAAAAATTTAGTTCAATTAGAAGGTTAAAAGCAGTTAATATCTAAGCAGCAGCGACTTTTTGCTGTCTGAATTCAATATAAATGTAGATTTGTTGGTTCTGGAATCTGAAGCTAACAGCTAGTAATGGAAAGACCATGGTGGTCGTCTGCCTCGTTAGACAAGGTATCAGATCCTCACAGAGTGATAAAGTTGCGTAGAAATACGGTACCATGGAAAATAAAGAAAAATGTTTTCATTTCTACCATAAATAGACAATTATTCTAACTGCTCCTATTATAATGTACAATTTTGCCAACTACTGTTATAATAATTTTAAGGTTAACATTTCTGTACTTTTATTGTAATGCAAATATAAACCAAAATAATAGAACATGTAGCAGTTTTCCACTTCTTATTAGTCCGTTTGATACTATCCTGTTTGCTGTCCTGTTCCTCTTAGATTGAAGTTGAGAGTTATAAGCTTTTGGACATGGGAGATTGTTTTGTTCAACTTAGTCGTTCTTCTAAGCGAGGAAAAAGTGCATTAACCTTTTTTCCTTGGAGTCCACAGCGCAATGTGGGGGAGGGGAGTATAACAATACTCTCTGCTCCACACTGCCTGAGAAAACACTGGTGAACCCACAACGTCTCTTTGAAATTTTAAGAAAAAGAACTTTTCACTTTAAGAACAGCAACCAAAACATCTCTGCTTCAAAATTCAACAAAAACCAATGTGTTTTTTTTTTATAGAGATGTTACTGAACAGCTAGTTATCATTAAAAAGGAAATGACAGTCAGAGCCAGAGCTCTACAGATAAGCTTTCTGTGCAAACTGCATCCTGAGGAGCGAACATATTAGGTGTTTTATAAAGTTATGACCTGATAGAAGAAAAAGGCAATCTAAAAAATGCATTCATTGGAATATTCACTTTTTACACTTTTGCTCTCATAATAAATAGATACGTAGCGGTTATAAGTACATTTTTTACACAGGAAGATCATGGATGGTACACCACACTGTCTGGACCCTCTCAGAGTAGCTGTTAGCCTCTGAATCCAGCTAATCTGGATTTATAATCAATGATAAAGAAAACGGGCAAAATATTGACTGCTTAGAACATTTTAACAGAACTTCTCCTGCAAAACCTTTCAATTCAGCCGTTAGCTCCTGGACATGAAGGTGATACATATGTACTAAAGTATTCCAAGGACTTCATTGATAAAAAAAAAATACTTTTCTTTTTGACGAGACCATGCTCGGTCTGTAACTCTTGTCCTACCCATTGACCCTTCTTTTTTCCCGTGTTACAGTAATCTGTCCAACATCTGCTTCTGATGAACGTAGGTAAATCAAATCTAAGAAAATACTCCAGAGGGGGGTTCGGTGAAACCGCTTGTCTACATTTTTGCGAAAACGCATCTGAGGCGTGACTCTATACAACTGAACCTACAGTAGTTCCTAAATACAAACGGACGCAGTAACACAATGTGGTACAACAGACAGAAGAACAAAATCCTATATGTCCCAGTTAAAATTCAAATTGCACACTACAAGAAAAGGAAATAAATATGTGAAATGTAAGCTCGGGATGTATGGCACTTTATCCCTCAGTAAATTCACAGTTAGTAAGATGTGCTGCTGACCCCTAAAAATGGACGCCGGGCATCGCTAGAAGCTCCCCGACTAAAATGTTCATCGCATCGCATACTTCACTTGGCAAGAAAAAGGAAAGCAGATCTCTGTAAACACAAAGCCAATAAACCCCGAGGTGAGGTATTGACACTAAACACATCGTCAGTGACACCAATACGATACATGCTTGGTGCTAGTTCATCAATACATTAATTGGCTGCAGTTAAATATACAGTTGGAGTAATAGTTTCTAATATATGCTTTTATAATTTTTGAAAAGCGTGCAAGATGAATGATCCTGATCTTATAGGAGAAAGGTAAAAAGGGAGGTCTAGAGCTACCATCCTGAAGCACAGAGTGGAAAAGAAGGGAGGACCTGCATGTCAACAGGTAACATGACTTCTGACGCCAAAGTTCCTTCGCTCTGGGTAGAGATGATTATTGCACGCGGCGGCAGTAGTAGCCCAGGACTTTACATTTCTCACACAGGTGCTGCGGATGCTCCTTACTCTGGTCTGACACATCCAGGCCATCTGGCTTCTCTAAAGGTCGCTGGGAAAAAAATTAAAAAAATGGACAAATACTGGGTCAGATGGATAACGTTAACACAGAAACTTCAGATTCAGCCTTTTACCAGCTGGACTACTTTCTCCAGGTCGTTTGATGGACTAACCCTATACGTCTAGTCACAATAACCTTTTAATACCAACAGATGGCGCCTCAAAATCTGACCAATGTGAGCAGTTCTATGTTCTCAAAGTGCTGCACTTAGAAGTTATGATGATGATATCTAAATGTGACATTCATGATGGTTCATGTATTAAATGCGAAATGTGATTGGAAATAATGAACCTACAATAGAGGTTTGTTGATATTTTCAGTCTTTCTCTATGAAATGAAACATGGTATGCTACGTTTTCAGCATTTATTTTTCTACTTGTAATGAATTTACAACAATCTAAAAAAGTGTTTTTCACATTGTCATAATGGGGGAGTTTTTGTTGAATTTTGAGGAGAGATTAATTTGATACCATTTGGAATAAGTCTGTAGTATAACTTAATGTGGTAAAAGTGTAATGCTGTGAATACTTTCCAGACATTTTTTTAAGGAAAAAATTATCAAATCTATCTCTTTTTGGCTTTGGAACAGGAGATAGCCAGAAATTTACCGAAATGTTTTCTTTTGTCATTGAATTATAAGAAACAGTGTTCAAAAGCTTGGGTCCTGGTTATGTAGGTCTGACCCTTTTCAGTCTGGCTTTCTAAAGCAGACTGCTTCATTTAAGGTTTTTCAATTTTTTTTTATTTTTTTTTTTATTCCTGCTGTTTAAAAAAGGCTGAAGGTTTCTTATCTATCTGATAGACTATTCAGTGTCATGACAGACACATTATTCTCTGCTATTATGTAGGGAAAAGAGGAGCTGGTACTATTTGTTTAGTTTCAAATTTTTGGTTGCAATTAACACAGATGAATCTGTTGATTAATCAATTAATAATAGCCAAAGGTTCCTTAAAGAATATTTTTTTATGGAACTAAACCAGGTGAGACTAAAACTTTTTCATTTGAGGTGTTTTGGACAGAGCATATTGACAAACGAAAACATTTTTTTTTTTTTTTTACTTAAATGGAAATTTTTTTTATGATATTTTACAAATTTTGCTCCGTCAGCTAAAGGCATGTTTTAGTCTCTATACTCCAGTTAACAATTAATCAATTACTAAGTTAGTGGACGATTTTTTAATAATCGATTAATCCGATTAATTGTTTCAGTCCTATTCTATTTGATATCATTTATCACATCTATGCAGATTGACATCCAACTGTGTGTCTTGTAAATGAATCCTGCTAGATAAGCTGGTCACCACAGTCAAATGTCTTTCTCACATCAGTCTCCAGCATTCATAGATTCAAACACACATAAGTCATTGCATCACGTTGTTTAGTTGCTTAATTCTGCAGATAAAGCAAATGCAATGTGAATAATATAGAACAGGGGTCTTAAACGTTTCCCAGGCCTAGGACCCCCAAACTGATGGCGAGATGGGAGCCGGGACCCCCTAATTATACTGTACATATTGTATGAAATTGTATTATATCAAGTTGGTGCTATGGTCACTCTATTAAAAATGGTGTCATGTAACGAAAGTAGTTTCTCCCTGGGATTATTAAACTATTTCTGATTCTAATTCTTCATTGATGGGACAGGTGTTGTGAATGAAACGGTGCCCAGCTTGAAAGAGCTCCTGTGTGTCGCTGAATGTGTGCATTGATGACTGAAAGACATCTTCTGCCTCAATTTATCTGTTTACTGCAGTGTGTTGAATTCATGTTAATGTGTATTTAAAGACATTTCAATTAGTAGAAAAATTGCAGGGGGAATATATATATAAAAAAAAAAAAGTCTAATCAACCAAACCTTTCGCGACCCCCATGAAGTACCCCTATGGACCCCCTAGGGGTTGCGGACCCCCTGTTGAAGACCTCTGATGTAGAAGATACATTTGACTCTCATTAGACTTTTTACTATTGTTCCTGTAGCTTTAATTTTCATAGAAATGTTAAAAGTACCAGAAATTAGGCTTTTTTCCATTGTCCCTTCAGTTTGTGACTCACAGATTTACCTGCAGATATTGCTTTTTAGGTTAGCTAAGAAATAACATTCAAGATTTTATGTCCTGATGTTCTGTTTGTTTGTTTTTTATGTTTTTTTTTGGGTACTATTTACAACTCCAATGTGATTTAAACAACTATAACTTTTATTAAGCATTTTAGTAAAAATACAAAAATCTCTAATAATATTTTTCCAAATCTTCTTCATTCTTCAAATTTGTTAAAAAAAATAAAATAATTGAATTAGAAGGGAACATTTTCCCTTTTTCCTTTTCTGATTTATTTTGGAGACTGAACTAGTTATGCACACTGAAATCATTTAAAGAAAAGCTGATAGTTGTTACACTAAAGACTAAAGAAAACAAGCACCAGTGAGTTTTGCAAACAACTATTTGGCAGCAAGTTTGGCCTCACTAACACCGTATGGAAGTTCTTCACAGACCAGATTAGTTCTAAACACAATATATTCAGAGATATGGAAAGCTGCAAGGCGCTTTAACGGTTTCAGAAAGAGAGAGATTATCATCTGATTATGATGGACTGCTTGGAAATATTAGAATCTGGTTTCTTGGAATCATTATCAGCTACAAAGGAAACCTTTCTGAGCCAGCACGTTTGGAGGTGATTTTTAAAGCCCATCTGGAAATTTTTACCTCTCATTTATTCCTTTCTTCTTTAGAACCCCCCTGAAAACACGTATTTATTCCGACTGGTTTGACTAAAGGAAACCCAGTTAGCATGGGTCATTACAAGGAGATACTTCAGGTTTCCACTAATGACTCTTCCAGCAATTTCAGGGACTTTACATCTGCTGTGTCAAAGACATTAGGTCCTAAAGGAAAAGTGGAAAATCGGAAGGAAATTTTATGGAGTTCAATTTGTGGTTACAGGGAACCTGGAGGACATTCTTCCTCTGCTGAACTGTAATCAAGCAAGGATGTTCATTAGACATAGGGAATCTTTTGGCTTATAAAAGTACAGCCTGAGCTTTTGATAGATAAGCATTTGATACATAAGCTGGAACATATTTGATATTAAATGTGTTTGGGGGGATTTATTTGAGCATACCTAAAAACTAAGTAGTCTAAAATGTATGATGTGCATTTAAAATAATCCTGTTAAAAGGGGTTTAGACATGTTTCTCATCTTTATACTTTACTTATGGGTTTTACTAGAAGACATAACTTGAAACATTACATCGAAACATATTTATGTCTTTTTAAATATCTACAAATAACATTCTTTTAAATTGTTGGTTAATTCAATATATGGGGTATCTAAAACCAATTACAATAATTACTCGATTTAATAGTCATATGTTTAAGTGTTTATAGATATATAACAGGCGGATACTTTCGACAAAGTGTGAAAATGTTAGAGTTGGGAGTAATGTGACTCAATGTTGTCGTAGGACCTTCTTGGAGACCACTTTGTTGGCAGATTATTGCACACTTTTATGAAATAATTTTAGAAAAATAGAAAGTGATATTCCACAAAATATTAAAAATAAAGCCTTTAAAGGCAATAATATGGTGTATGGGATATCGGGCAGTCTTTTTTTTCCTTTTTATTCTTTAACGCCGTCATACTCTGCCACAGAGAAAATAAAAGTGGAAACTGCAGAAACCTGTTAGCAGACTGACACAAATTTGAGATATTTACAATCCCTAAACTCCAGACATTGTTACAGCTAGCAATGCTTACCATGCGTATAAAAATATAGTCATAATGGCAAACAAAAACAACATCATATGCTGTTTACTTTGTTTCAAATAATTTTTTTCCTTATTTTTTTTACAGTGAATTATTTAGATTCTCATGTACACATTGTGTAATATGTCATGATCTCTAGCTCTTAGGTTATGATTGTTTATTTTTCAGCACTTCCCTTATTGATTTTTTTTGTGTTTTATAGTTCTTGCCATACTCTGTTGTAATTGCTGCCTTTTGGGATTTGCCGTATTATTTTATTTTCTCATGCTCAGCGTCGTCAGATGTTTTTAATTTTTTTTCTGAAAATTTTGTTATATTTTTTTTCTGTGGTCATAGCTATTCCTGAGCAAGCCCAGAAAAAAAACAGTCCTGGTACTGAAAGCAGTGAAGGAAACATTAAATAAATTGTTAGTGTGGAGTGGAGCTAGGCCAAGTGGAGCTGGTGGAAAATATGTTCATCAGTGGGCGCTTTTGTGTTGGCCTTAAATTCAAAATTTATACCATAACACTTTATTAAAGATCTTAAAGAGTACCTTCATCTGTCCGGATTTGCATTGGCAGATCAGTGCCTCTTTTTCAAATAAAAGAGTAAATTCAGATTTCAGGTTTATTCTGGACAGTAAAAAAACAAAAAAAAAAAAAACAAAAAAAAACGTGAACATTCCTTTTTTTTCTGAGAATAAAAAAAGCATTTACTAGATGAGATGTTTTGCTTTCAACCACTCTGACATTCTTGTAACCGACTAATAATAAATAATTTTTATGACCTTACAGAGGTCTTTAAAATGTTTTCTTTGGATGCTTTTTTTAACTAACTTTTAGTCCAGTAGAAATTTTTAAAGAATATTTTAATGTTTGCTAACTTAACTCTGATCTAAGGATAATTATTCTCTTAATTTGTGTGATAACCCAGCTTATTAATAACCAGCATACTAGATTCAGTGACTGAAAAAATTTACATTTTACTTTAACATATCCCAGCTGCAATATATTGGAAATATCTGTTATTTTTAAACTTTATTTAATGCAAGTATAAACAGAGAGCAGTTCCTCTAGGAGTAGTCCTTTCTTTATTTCTGCAAGAGGAATTGCAAGAATGTGGGGAAACATAAATATTAAAAGATGAAGTGTTGGGGATAAATATACCTCCAGCTGTAAAACACTAGATTCTTTCTTTCCCTCTACACCAAAACAAGCCATGAGGAACATTTTTCAGACAGTAAACTGAACAAAGGGGTTATCCAGCATGTTAATTGAAGCATATGTGATTTAGAAAAACACTTTATGGTTAATATGATTTCATGTTTTCTTCCTGAACACAAGGAGAGTTTCCGCAGCTTAATTCGCTGCAGAAATGTCTAAGGGAGCCATGTTTCTCGTAGTTTTGAGCCGATTTACTGCATAATTGTAAACATTTATGAATCAGGAAATGTAATTTGTTTATTCAATACTTTAACATCAGTGTAGATAAAGTGGTTTTTATTTCACTTAATTGAGGCCATCTGGGAAATCATTAAACCAGAGCCTGAAGTCAGTTAACTCTGGTTGGTACGAGCCAGGTTTTGTGTGTTCATAACATTTTCCAGTTCAGATAATGCTATGATAGGTTGGCTGGTGTACCTGTTTGTGTGGATAGACATTGATGTGGCATTTGATGCATTCTTGCCCCATGTTGGCCCAGGAATTGCCACTCATCCACTTCCTCTTACACTTAGGGCACTTGTACTCGCCGAAGCATCTCTTCTTCCCCTGGTAGGGTGTCAGTCCTTCCCCTTTGGGTCTGGCCTATAACAGGAGAAAATACATCAACTGATAAATAGGGAGGTTTATTTAGCTGTGAGATCCTTGGTATAATAGAACACTTAAAACAGACAAACAAAGTAATTTTCAAGCAGAGGGACATTGAAACCCCTGCAGCAGATGGATAACAACTGGGTGTTTCCATCTTTGTTGTGCTCATATATCAGACCTCATCACACGCAGAACACTCATGCACACTCGATATGAGGTTGTATAAATGACGTTTGCTTCCATTACAGCTGTGTTAAATTACCCCTCTGATTCTCTACAGGGAGATGATTGCAAACAGTCAGTCAGCCATGAGAAAAAGAACTCGCCCAAGGACGATATTGTCAAGAGGCGCCGCCCCATGACTTCATGTTGGCAGCTGCTTTTTGGCCACTATAATAACATTTAGGAAAGGGACTATTTTTTTTCCCTCCAATAAAGAAGACTCACAAACAAATACGCCACAGATGACATTTACAGCATAAATCAGAGCCTGCCAAAATAAACCCAAATTCAAATGTATCTGTTGGTTTGTTAGATTATGTCATAATCAATCTCAGATCTCCGTCAGATTTATCTCTGTCTGTCAGAAAATGAGAACAAGGGGGGATTTCAAACCTGACTTTTTTTTTTTTGCACAGAGTGTTATCAGATGTGGCAGGAAAGAAAAAATCTTGATGCATGAAGATGGTAGTTCTCCAAAATGTCAGGGAGCTCTGCCTTTAAAGTGAAATCTGAACTATCTTGACACCTCAGCCTCATCCTAGAGGATTGTTTTCGTTATCAGCCCAAAATTTTGGATGCAGTGGATGAGTTACAACCACACAGTTTAATGTATTTTAATAGGATTTAAAAGCCTGTTTTCTTTGCTTGCTTTGCACATCCAGTGACTTAAAATTCTTTTTTGCAAAGTAACTCATGTTGAGTGTGACTTGATAAAGAGTGTCTGTGAAAGTCGATTTTAAAGTCCAGCCATAGATTTTAAAACGGACTTAGGTCCTGACAATGATGTGAACATCCATCCATATTTTAAAGCTTTGATAAACCATCAGAGCGTTGGTTTAATGCATAGAACAGATAAGTATGTGGATGCATGGATCATTTTCTCTAACTGAATAAAAAAAAAAACTGAGGTAATAGTCTAGAGATCACGAGTTAGCTCACAGCTTCAGCTGATTATGGCCGAAAACTTGGTTTCATGATGGACTCAGACCTGAACCTTCAGAGGCCTACTCTATACACCAAGAACTAGAACCAAACATGGAAAAGCAGCATTCAGTTGCTATGCTCCACTTATCTGAAACAAACGTTTTTGTGTTTGTATTTTCAAAAACAAATTGCAATATGACAAAGTTTAACTAAGGCCTAGGCCACATGAAAGAAAGTCAAAAAGAGTTGACATAGCAACCCTGAAGAAACTGTCGTTTGTATGCCAGGCCCTTTGGTGGAGCTGTGATACTGTCCCAGAAATATGCTAAAACCATCATTTTGAGAAAACTCCTTGAAGATTAACAGATTAAGATGGAGGATATTCGATTATTATCATTAGGATACAAAGTGAAGGAGGTAAATTTATAAGCTAGAATACTGGCGGCAAAGAGACACGTGGGTTAGAGATAATTGGCCCATTATCATTTAGGAAAAGTATGGCTCGCATGTACCACAGAAACAGAAAACCAAAGTATTTATTTTTCCACTCTCGGACCTGATTTAACTATTTTACATTTCCCTAAAACACCAGATCTGTGTGGACAAGGCCTTGATCTTTATTTCAATCCAGCCAGTGGATGATCAGCTGTTTATGTTTGCAGTTTGCCTTTTTCTAATCATGGGCTGCACAATTTGTAATGTTTAAATAATAAAATAGTGTTAGTGAGAACCAATTTTGCTTCTAATGTTTTCTAACAAATCTATGAGGTATTCATACAAAAATTGCTCTATGAAAGATGGGCCAGTAAAAACAAGAAATCTTGTACCCTCTGAGGGCATCTTCGGTTATGGTTGGAGCAAGGCAAGTCTATTTATATAGTACGTTTCAATAGCGAAACAATTGAAAGTGTTTTACGTGGTAAAAAAGAAGGAAAAAATTGTTAATGAACTCAAATAATTAAAATATGATTCATACTATAATAATTAAATTGAGTTGAAATGAATAATATAATTTGATTATAGCAAAAGTGATTATATAAATAGATTGATAAGAAAAATTGGGAAAGCTGGACTGCAAACTTAGCTAATTATGTTAAGACTACATAAAGGTCATTCTAAACAAATATGTTTGCATCTTGATTTTAAGCAACTTTCATATAAAGTAACAGGAGGCTTTTAAAGTGTTATGGGATTTTTTCAACCTTAGTGGAGGTTAAGAACTAAAAGCTACTAAATGGTTCTGGTTCTGAGTATATAGAGTAGACTTGACCCGATACATTATTTAAAAAAAAAGTTCTAATATATTTTGGTGCTAAGCCATTCAGTGATTTATAGACTAACAGGAGTATCTTGAAGTCTGATCTCTAAGATATGGGGAGTAAATGGAATGACTTTAGAGCTAGGCTGATATGTTCTACTTCCTTAGTTTTAGTGAGGACACAGGCAGCAACATTCTGGATCAGTTGCAGCTCTAAACCATTTTTTAGGCAGAGCTTTGTAGAGACTGTTACATAATCAATTCTCTAAAGATGAACGGATGAATGATTTTTTTAAGAACCTGCTTAGACATCTGTCCTCTGATCCTGGAGATGTTCTGCAGGTGACAGGAGATAATTGGAATGGAGATGAATATAAAATAATGTAAAAGTTTCCCTTTTTGCATTACTCATAAAATGTACTCTAAGCGATATATTAGAGATACATAAGATGTGAATGTGGAAAAAAAGTATAAGGGCTACGGAAGCTTATGCAAGGAACTGTGTTCCTGGCCTTTTTTATTGCTTAGTTCTAGCCTAAGTATGAGTAATAGAAGCTTAAATCATCAGCATCTGGTCCTTTCCAAACAGACCTCAGTACTCTGCATCATCAGCACCAGCAGGTTTGAAATAAGTAAAAAGGGCAGAGCTTCAATCTGGCTCCTCAGGAGCATGACCTCAAGCCCCAACTGTCAGTCTTTGCATCCTCCAGTATGACAAAATGCAGCCTGGAAAATCTGACTCCTGCTGGCCTATTCCTATTTTTCTTGATGCAATCGATGGGAAATGTTTCAGACAACAGTGTTTAGCTGTGATGTGTTTAGAAAACGGAATGTTATGCTGGAAACTACTACAAATAATGCAGTTACTAAATAGTCAAAGTATAAAAAAAGGCTGACGTTCGCAGTCATATGAAAAGAAAATCCAGCAGAGCGTGCAGTGGGTTGTGAAATAAATGTGACAATTCTCAGTTTTAAGATTGATACGCTAGGTGTATAATCCTAAACCACAGTATTCCTTTAGAAATAGAAATACAAGCCTAAAGGCAATTTTCTGATAGAACAGTTTGTTCAAATGTGAAAACCAAAAATCTCTGAAACTGCAGCGAGGACTTAGCAGGACATAAACAGCACTGATTTATCTCATAACCGTTCCTTTTTTTTCTTTTTTGTTGCTCCCTGCTGTTTGAAGGGTCTGGCCTTGGCCCTTGGCTGCACATCATGCTCTGCCTTTAGCTGAAGACTTTCAGATTAGCTTAAACCTCTCTGTCCAACTAGGCTGTATTTCAGAAGCAAGATGGGTGTAACATTTTGGAACCTCTAATGATTTTTATAACTGAACTTTATCAATCTCACTCTGGAGAAATGCACCTCTGAACTTGACCCATTCTCCCCTTGGGGAGCAGGGGGCTGCCATTGTGCGGCACCCGGGAGCAGTGTTGGGTTAAGGGTCTTCCTCAGGGAGCTAGAGTGCAGGCTGTGGAGATCGAACCGGGTACTTTCAACCTTTTCAGAGGACAAGCACACTGCTCTAACCCACTAGGACACTCCCACATGCTGTTGACCTATTTACAATGTACACACCTGGACTTCTATAAGTAAGTATATAACATTTGACACAGTATTTGATCTGGGTTACCATGAACAGCAGCTTTTTATACATTTTTTTCACATTATTTCACTTTTGATGATTGCAAATAACAAAAATCTTTTGATCAGAATATCCCATGACAAATAAGAGGCAACCAGTCCAGACCACTAGTTGAACATATATATAATTTGATTTTATAATCTATACATATTTAGCTTTGTAATTTATAAAAAAAAAAAAAAATCCAGCATGCAATTTGATTAATCCATTAGAATAAATCCCTTTGAAAATCCTCCATAAAGGTTTTATGAATGTCGTCTTGATACTTTTTTATTTAAACTTCTGTAGAAAAATATGTTGATTTATTTTTTGGTAGACAAAGCATGTTCAAAATGTTCCACTTTTATGCACATTCGCTGTGTAAATTTGGCTTTGCATAATTGCAAATCTCCACGGAGCTCTTTTGGACACTTGGAGTCGTAAATCTCAGCATTGCACTCAAACTGTGGTCAGCTGTTATGAGACCATTGCAACACTGGCTGTCATGGAGGTCTCCGGCGAAAGCAGCAAGTTTAGGCACTGAAGTCACTGACTACAATCCCGGTTGATGCTTCACATTCCACTGAACCCGATGGAACACATGGGAAAGACTCCAACATTATCTGTATTACTGTGCCATTATAGCTGGCATAGATGAAGACAGCAGAGACATTTTTATCATACAAATAAAAGCCCTCTCACTCTGCCTTTTTTTTAATGCAGTAACCAGCAGATCAAAGCTCTCAGCTGTAACTGTTTCAGCTAAGCTTGATTTCCAGAGAGGTAGAATTTATTAACTGTACACAGCGCACTCAGCTCAATGACTAATAAGATGGACCTGCGTCATCACACCACACAGTGCTCTGGGAGATGAGCCGGCATGAGAAGTATCTGCTTTTTTTTGGCTGTTTTCCATTGCAGTCCTTAATTTAAAAGCTTAGAGTCACAGCTAAATGGACACGC